AACAAACATATTATATATCAGAAACCAGGTAACAATTCCAGTCTAGATACCATTCCGGGGCCCATGGGCAACCACGGGGCTTGCCCCATGGGCAACCTCCGTGACTGGAACCATGAATCAGAATCCCGAAGGCAGCTCATACATCAAGAATCACGAGCGAGGGATGGAGAAGTGCAGCCCCTATCAAATCAATCTCAAGATCCCAAGAGCCCAAGATCTCGGATCAACTCATCCCCGTCCGCGATTCACCTCTCCCGTACGTACCGGCCATACCAGCGCACAGGCGCACCGGCCATACCGGTACCAGCACCGGCTTCACTGCGGCGTGCTCAACGCCGAAACGACCGAGGCGCCCCAGGTCGTGGTGATCTCAACCAGGTTCAGCACCGGCACCTTCCATGGCCTCGAGCGAAAGGGAATGGGGAGGTCATCCATCCGACGTCAAACGAAAGACCGCCGGCGTTGGTCTGGAGGATGTGTCTATGGGGCATGTCTTTTTTTTTTGTGGCTGACATCCATCTCTCAAATGTAGGGAGGATATTGGGATGATGATTCTTGTTGACCGACGGCTCTACAGGTCTACTGGGACGTCGACCCAAAACTGAAATCTACAAACCAAGCGAAGACAAAGAAGCCACCGAAGCCACCCAGTCACCACTCCATTCCACCCTGTCACCGGTGTCACCACTTGTTCCCTACAGACTCAAAAAATGGCGTCCTCATATATGTCCACATGTGTCCACCCGCGGAAAGCGATGCTGAAGATGTTTCCGGTTGTTTCCACTGGCTGAAGATGTCATCAACAAAACTGCTCGGGGCATGTGTCGCATTCATTGCGACTCACTGGAAACAAAGACGTGTATAAAGCAGATAATTGTCTTCCTTGTGACACTTCAGTCGAAGAGTCAGAGATCTCAAAGACCAATGTTACATTCAGCGGGCATTGATATGTTTGAACAAAGTGTATGTGTGTGCAGATTAATATCTTGCCTGTCCTTAAATCCCCATGGATCTTTAGCGGATTGGCCATGGACCTTTAAAATTTAGCGGTTTGTGCTCTACATCCATTGTACACTGAATGAAACCTCAGCATTCAGGCCTGCACGGTAAAGCGGCACCAAAGGCAGGAGATCTGTTTGATTTGTTTGATCAGGATCATCTACATCTCGCCGCTGGCTGCGAGTAGGAATAAGGTGGCAGAAATGATATTGATGCGCGATTTCGCGTAAACACATACTATCATCTGGACACTTTTTGGATAGGATCTGTTCTTTAGGATCAACATCTGGCCCTTCATTTTGAACTACCTTCCCAGGCATGAAAGGTCAAAGCACTCAACCTTGAACGGTAACACAGACTCTGAGGTTCCACAAAACACAAAAATTGTCACCATCACCCAAGTAGCCAAAAGTCCTTATTGTCAGAGTCACACAGTGGCATTGGTTGCATTACCAGTGGTCGAACAGATAAACCTCCGGTCACCCCAGAAAGGGGGACGTTCCTCCGCCCCGTCTCGTTCATCTCAGGAACGCAGCGACCGACTCCATCGCCACATAGATCATCAGAATGGAAGCGATCACCACGATCTGCGAAGGAAGAACGCTCACAAATCGTATGCTGGTGACATGTCGACATGGATGCCATTGAAGCTCTATCAAATGGATATTTGGATACTACGAGATGCATTTTGGCATCCCTTGAAAGAAGTTTGGGATGCTACTCGGCTTGCCAGGCTCTCCTCGGCTTCTTCGGGCTTCGGGTTCGGACGACGTGTTCTCGGTCTCGTTCGGAACGGGGCGGTTCTCGTTCGAACAGGCCATGTTCATAGAACAGCCTGGGTTTCCCCAGTCCCAACCAGAAACAAATGGTTGGAACCCAAGGCTTTGAGATCCTTTACTTAGATAGGAAATGGCTGGGACTGGGGAAACATCCATGTGTTTCTTGTTGTTTGATGACACAAGTCTCTCTTACCACTTCAGCTGGGGCCAACGAGGAAAAAGGCCGCTCTTGAGCTGGCACGAGGGCCGCTTGGGTGCCGGAGAGCTTTTGAATGTCGCTCCGACTGACCACACCACCATAGCATTTAGCTTGTCTTTTCATGTCTTGTCAATCCTTTCACATCACCGACTCTGCACCAGATGCACTGCCTTTCTCTCCTTGAGTTGACGGGCCAATTGACGGAGAAAGCATGTGTACAACGATTGAGTACGCTTCAACAGAATGAGGCCATAATGAGGCATTTGTTCCATCAGCAGTTCTTGCACCAAAGCAGTCCTTGATCCTCCAAAGAGACATGTTGCACCAACAGCCCTGGCAATAAGGGGCCTTGATGTTGGACATTGTTGCAAACCACGGTCAGGGACATGGGTTGAATCGATGGGATACATGTGGCAAACTTGCGAAGAAACCACAAAATTGAAAGTTTCCATGCCAGGTTTTAAGGGACCTTCTGATCTGCAAATTCTTGACTGCACCCATATGAGCTTATATGTGGTACACCCTTGCAGACTAACAAAGAACCTGAAAGCACTAGTCTTGTAGAGGAAGATGCTCTTCCCGTTGTCTGTTTTGAAGCTCTATGTCAGCCTGCGAGGGTGTGTAACCCTTTGTCAATCTTCCCAATGACTGAATCAACCTGATCCTGGCTGCGTCCCGCCTGAGCCACAGCATTGTCCTTGGCAGCAAGGGCATTGTGGATGGCCGGAATTGGTTGAGAGAGGCTGTGATAGCCTACTGCTGCTAGGGTTGTGCTGCACTTACTTGGATTGTGCTACCAAACCCAACCAAAATAGCCAACACAAAATCCCTATATAGACATTTCGACTGGCCTGTGCTTGCTGACACGCTTGCTGGATGAGTGGGGTGTGACTTAGTAAACCAGTGGTTTAGCAGGTTGAATGTTATGACACGTTCTGACCAACCGACTCTTTGTACCGTACCTTGCCAAGTCACTTGGGGGTTGGATCGTACCTACTACCTTTCTAGAAACAAACGATGAAAACAACCCAAGCCGCCGCCTTTTGCGCACCAAGTGTCGGTGGCCAATGCCAGCGGAAGGGACAGAATAGGGCCGCGAAGCAGAAAGGGGATCGCAAACCTGAGCGATGTGGGGGGATCCATGTCCTGCATTTCGCAGCAAAAAGGGATCCTTTGAAAGGTCATACCTGGATCTTCCAACAGCACTAATTTTTGCACGAGGCATTCTTCAGTGAAAAGACACTGAAAGAAAACACCGTGCGGTTTTAGGGGTTGCAAACATGTGCTCAAAATGGAGTCTTTCCGCCGTTTGGACGCCTAAACACGCAGAAGTCTCTGCTGGTGGTTTCTGCCATTCTTTCCTCTGGTCACCAAAAACATCAACAAAAACGCGGTCTTTGGAAAACGATTCACGGCCTTTGGTTCTTGAAAAGGCCATGTCTTCAGTGCGCCGTTGAGAAAAAGCTGGTCTACCAGACCGGCGGCATGGCAGGCTCCGGTTCGGCCGCTGCCGTAGACCAGTGCTTTTCTCGGTTCAGGTCGACCACCGGTTGGCCGCACGGTTGGTTCGGGCCAGGAGCCCAACGAAGGACCATCCATCTGAGACGAATGAAGTACGTCGTACGGAGAACCTGTCGATTCGATGAGCGGTTGCAAACCCGGAAAGCACGCGCGGCAGCCGGAAAGCGCGCTCCATGCGCTCGATCCGAGCGATGTGTGCCTGTCATGCCATGTTGAATCACTCATCATTTTTGAACAGAGGTCTTTCATACAAAGGAGTCAAAGGAGTGAAAACAAGAATTCGTCTTGTCCAAAAATACCCAACCAGGCCAATGGCCCAAATCGTCACACACATGAAATGCTATGAATTTCCCAAAATACGCTGCAGGTCCAGCCTTTGCATCCCCTTTTTTCTCTTAGTTTATACGTAGTTATATAGTTGTGATGGGTTGGGCCCAGGGCCCCAAAACAGCCCATGGATTGGGCCGTTGGGCCGTTGGGTCCTCGGCCGATCGGATAACACCAGGTTCTCGACCCCAAACGCCAAGACTCCACCAGCGGTCGCTTCGATACTTCACCAGCAAAAAGCGCGAAGCCTCCGACCAACCACGGCGCTGTGTGCGTGGCGTTTCTGAAAGAAGACCAGGACCTATGTAGCAAAAGTACTGATCAGGATGGCAATACCAATCATTTGATCAAATAAGTGGACGGATAGCACCCCAAAATCGGAGCAAAAACAAAGAACCCCAAACAGGAGCCTGAATGTTGTTCTTGTGAAAACCCACACCTTTTTTCGGATACCTTGATTTTTTGGTTCGTACCATATCCGAGAGCTTTCAGGGTATCTTTGATGGTCCAGGTGAAGAAATTGTGTCCATCAAAGTTGTTTTGAGCAGCAGACCTTTCAGCACGGGCGGTCGCCGCAGAAAATTACCAACCCACAAGAACAAGCAACTTTATACAGCAACTAACCTCTAAAACCATCCGTGGAGTACAGAATTAAACTATGCTTCTGTGGTGATGGTGCTAATTTGTGAAACCTTATCAAAACCAGTATATATATCATATATCTATATAATATCCAAAATGAACTTGCAAGGAAGAGGGACCTGGTTCTTCCAAGTGCCTTTTGCTCACTTGGGTTTGGGGGGAGGTTCACTTTTGAGAAATCCAGGCGAGGTCAACATCCGAGGTCGGTTCGACGCCTCCAGCATCTCGAGCTTCTCATTGGAGCTCCAACTTGGAAGCCTCCAAACCACTTGGACATTGACACATGTGCAAAAGGTGCCACACATGTTGTTCATATCATTCTCTTGTGCTTTGGAGATTTGCTATACCCTAGGGCTCCAACCATCTCCTCAGAAGGTGGTTAGACCCCCCAAACCACCCCAACCATCTCCTCAGGAGGTGGTTGGAGCCCTAGGGATAGTAACCATGACCCGCATGATTTGCTATGATCCGCATCCGCCAGCAATTGATTCGAGCCCTTGAATCCTGCCACATGAATAGACAACCCGAGGCAACCTATGCTGATTTGTTCAATATTATTCTAGTTCTTCCTGAATCTGGTGACACGTAGATGTAAATGTATTTGAGGAGTATACAGTATATATATATATTTTCTACAACAAATCTGCTCTTTCTAATGTAGAAGTTAAAATGGCAAAACCATGAACACAGGTATGTTTCTTTGGCAATCTGATCGTATGCTAATGGTTGGCAGCTTGCAGCGTGAGCGTGAACCACTGACCGCTTGGTTGACTGAGCGTGAACCGCAAGGCACGGCCTAATGGGTGATGCTTTTACTCTCCCGTTTGGGCTCCTTGCCCATATTTTGTATGACTAAGCTTCAGTAAGATCAGGTCATTGACCGGCAGGGATAACATGTTAGTAGATACTTGATTAATTCTTGATTATATCAAGTTTCACACTGGCAAGTGATTGTTGGGGGCGGCCCAACGCTTCCCTAAGCTCACATTAATATTACATATCAGCTTCAAACATGTTGGCGAGAAGCTACAGTATCAACCAAAGCTGGGAAAGCCCCCTTCCACTTATGAAGCGCAAAGAACTTAGCCGCGAACCCCTGGAAATATTGATGCATGTTGATGGGTGTGGTTGGCTCGCTACGCCAAAAGATAAGCAAAACTTTGTCCCAGCTCTTCCTTTTGGTCTTCTTGAAAAAGCAACCTTTCATTTCATTTTGCGAAGACCCGGACAGAATCGAGCCGAGGCTTGTCTTACTGATGGATCCAAACCTCTTTCATGCTTTCTAGTAACTAGAAGTTTCCTTGGGAATTGTTTCACCTGTAGTAACAATAAAGCTTTCTAGTAGCCTCTTCTCATGCTTTTACGCCCTTTCAGTTCATTGAAAAGACTTGTCTTGTACGCTGGCCGCCCGGGCCGCCCGCTGGCGCCCGCCCGGAAACCCGCGAAGACACCTGATGGTGGCCCAAATGCAAAACGCCAAGAAGGTCACCAGCATCACACCCAGACTTGTACCTCACTTACGGAAGGAATCCCTCCAGATTCAGTTCTATCTGTGTGACTCCGTAAACGAGTCAACTGGGTGACCAATGTCACAAGGTGTCACATGTGTCCGATGTGCAAGGAATCAATGAACTCCTATATAGGCACCTGTCTTCTGGCCAAGACAGCTGATGGGCTGCGCGCCATCTTTCCCGGCTGTGGGTCTCCGGAGGTCTCCGGTCTCCATGTCACCAGGCGCAAAAAGCATTCGAACTGAGTCCAGAGGTCCTGAGTCCTGGATGTTCACCTTTCACATGCTCCATCAAGGCCGGTCGGACGACGCGGCCCGCTCGCTGTTTGCAGCTCGGTGCCAAGACCCAGCATGGTGTGGTGCTGGGAGGAGCCACACAAGATGCCAGGATACTGAAGATTGCTTTTCCTTAGCAGTTGTCTCAGCTGTCCGTCATCTTTTTTGGAATCAACATGACATGTGTGTCTGTCCAAACAAAACAAACATGGAAGCTCGGTGTTCAGGCACAAAAAGGTTGGGTTGTTGTGGCTGAACAAACCTCCATGTTCATTGTTTCTTTTGCCCTGGTAGGTTCTGATGGTTTCTCCTTACTCCCTGCACTGGATCTGACAATTGTTGAATGATTTGTTCTTGGTTCCAGACACTTCAATGACCCCACCATGGGTTTGCAGTCCCGCATGGGCAAAACCGCTCTTCGAAAAGAGACCCAGCTCTTCCTCACGATTAATTGGACATTCTTAAAGTTGAGGAATGCTTAGTAGCACTAAGTTCATAGAGTTCCGAGTTTCCTCAAAACGGGAGTGATTAGCAGGGATAGAACAAAGGGTTCAAAATGGCTTTGACTTTTGCAAAAGGGAAGGACAAGAAAGAAAAGAACACACATTTAATTTAGGAGAGTTGTCTTTTCGATGTACACTTCCACGTGCGAAGAGGCTCCCCCACATATGCCTAGCTAGTCGTGTGGACTGGACAGAACTATGCAGTTATTCCCGGCGAAAACAAGCAAGGTATTAAACAGGGTGCTTTTCGGACGTGCTGTTGATGAGCCTTCCTCAAGTTCTGGAGATGCACTCTCTCAGAGGGCCACCAAGATGAAACCCCAAAGAACCACTTTACAGTTGCTGCCTGACTGAGGACATCAATAGACATCTTAATTCAACAACTGTGTCATTAGAATACGGAGACCCCTCATAAACCCCCCTTTTCAGAAGGGACGTTGACTTGAAATAGACCCAAACCCGGAACACCGGGACACTCCCGTTGACGACTCGACCCAGAAAGCGCGCACACCGAACGGTCTCGCTCGGATTCCAGGAGTCCAGCCATTGGGATGCTGGTAGCACATCAGGGGCAACAGAGCCACGTTACCTGTGGTCGACCGAAAAGCGGTCTCGACTCTTCCCCGCACGCAGTCGACTCTTTGTTTCACCCAGTGGTCTCAGATGGGGAAGACAGTGGAGTGTTCGGTGTTTTGTTCTTTTTTATAAGATGGGGAAGGTGTGGCAATTGCTTGGAATTTCGCGAGTGAGGTGCCCAATTTGGGTACACAATCCCTAAGAAAGACGCTGTTCCTTTGCCTGGAAAACTGGAAATCCTGAACGTCAACCTCATCTCTCATCTCTCATCCATAACTTGGTCATGGTGTGGGAGAGGAGGATGTCGCGTCACCACACCACACCCGACTCGCAGAGTCCAAACCGACTCGCCGAGCGGCAAAGGGCTGGAAAACTGCCACGGCAAGTCTGGCCCACGGTGGTGAGGAAGAAGCCTCGGAGGAGGCCGTTCGGAGGAGGCCGTGGAGAAAACGTGTACCTTTTTGTTCAGGCGAAGGAGGTCCTTGTTTTCTTTTGTTTCCCGGTGAGTGGAGAGCTTTAAGCACTTAAGATTGACTCGAAGCACCTTCTTTTCCAATGATTGGATTTCGGATTGACCAACAAATATTCTGATCTATAAACAGTAAACTGTTATAACTTTGGAACCCTCTGGGAGTAGATCCTGTCGCAAAACTCAGCAGCCTCGGCCCATCTTTGAATCAAGCTGCCCAGCGTCCCCTTTCGAGTGCAGAGGTGCCACACGCCGAAGCAAAGGCCTCAGCTCGTACCACACAGCTCGTGAGAGCGTCCAGATCGCTGTGGATCCAGGAGCCACGTATGCCGACATTTGACCCCCCAAAACCAGTCCAATGTAATTAGTATGATCTATATGTGATCCTTCCCATAGGATCACAAAGGTGTCTGGCTATAGGGAATTTCACCGACCGACGTGACGGAGTCGACGTCGTTGACACGACGTCACGGAGCGAGGAGATGGTGATGGGTGATGGTCGTTCAGCGTGTCCAGTGGCTACGAAGCATGTCCCGACCGGTCAGTTTGATCTTCTGAATTCCTGGAGTTGGTCATGCAAAAACACTACGAAAAAAGGATGCAAAAAAACGATATTGGTTTTACTGGGTCGTTGGACAGGGCTTGTAGGGTGTGTTTTTCGCGCTTGCACCGGGTTTTGGCATTGACCTAGTGAAGCAGGAGAAGGATGGCAAGGTTTGGACTAAAAACAGTGTTTTGCAATGGATGATAACGGATGAATCAACGTATATAAGTAGGGGTCCATTAATTCAAGTTTGAACCACACTCCTTATTTGTTTGTTGTTACAGTATCACCTGATGGTTTGGCGTAACGAGCGAACATCTCTTGCCCCATGGTACATACCTAGAACCTCTTCTTGGGCAGAAAGTTCTGCCCATTATGGGTAAAGGTGCCTTTGTTCGTGCTTAGGCGTTCTTGGCTTCGCTAGGTGTTCTTGTCCTTTTGGTGGCAATGGCAATGATCAAATAGACAAGGATCTATCCCACCACTGGCTCCACCACTGGCTCCAGGAACGATAGAGATACAGGACACTTGTGTATCAGGAATCAATTCACTTGATGTTTCACTTCTGCATGCGTTTACTATCTCTATACGCCTTGTGGCATTGTTTTTGGTGTGTTTTTGCGCAGGCATTCTTCCCTTCTTCCCATCACTTAGCCGTTCTGACCCGTTACTTAGGCGTTCTTGCCCGTTACTTAGGCGTTCTTACCCGTTCCCCCCCTCACAACAATCAGTAGTCGGGTGGACGAAGGCAGCCTTTCTTGGGGGAGCAAGTGACATGAGTTTCAATCTCGCCCGCACCGAAGGTGCGTTGTGTAAGCTTCGAGGCAATAAGCGTTTAGCTTAGGAGTTGGTTTTTTTGTGTCAGCTTTTGATGGTTATTTTTTAACATTGATAAGATTGACATCGTGTGTGTGATTGTCCGTATGGTTTCCGAGGTAAACGCTCGCGATGCCGGATATGCAGCCCGGGGGAGACTGCATCATTGAATCTTGGGTGTGTTCGTCCGTGTGTCCTGCCCGAAAGAGACAGACAGTACAGACATACCGAGACACACAGACTGAGACAGAGAGACACAGACCGAGACAGACATACCGAAAGTTGCTGCTTCCCGCACCAATAAACAACCCGTATCCTCGTGGGGTGCTACTGACACATTATCCATTTCTACCGCGAAGCGGTGTGAATACTTTTCTGTATACCGGGCACTAGCGTCAGGCCTCGGCGTTTTGGACCCGCTTAGGTGTTCTTTGTGTGAATGGGCTGAATTTTCTGCCTATATAAATGAAGTTGGGCGGAAATGATTGCCCAATGAGGTTCTAGGTATAGTCCTGATTGGCAGCGGGCTTCATCTGGTGGTAGATGGTCAGAAATCGAATGTGTAGTGAATACATGGAGGCTACAGGTCGATCTTCACATGGATTTCTCCGAAAACCTGGCGGGGCTCACATTCCAAGCTGCAAATCCACAGCAGCCCAATGGGCAGAAAGCCTCGCCAGGCGGACCGAGCGACCTTCACTCGACAACGCCCGCGCCGCCTTCGTGTGGACAGTCGACGTGCAGGCCTGATTGAGCCACGTACTGGTTCACGCCGTAACTACCGACGAAGCAGCTGAAACCCAGATCGGTGACCTGTCGCCGCGACGTGGGTGGCGTGGGCTGTCGAGCAGTTGAAGATCAACAGGTGGAACGAAGGAACGAAGGTGTCGCCGTATGACGCAATCCTCCAAATGAAACACCAAAAAGAGATTGCATGAAACAGCTACCTCTGGACAAACAATAAGTGAGCAAGTGAAATGTGTTAAACTATTTTGCAGAAAGTAGAATGTAAAGCATTATAAAGCACTTGTCCTAACAAACTGATCAAGTATGTGTCCCAAAGAGTTATCTGTCTATACTCAATTTTACGGCGGTCGCCCCGCAGAAACAATCTTTAGTTGAATCTAGCTGCGGTGCGCTTGGACGGGGATCAGGTGCCTTGAGTAGTGCCTTGAGTGTTTCAACTCTTGAAAGTATATTTGGCAAACCGGTGCAAACAGCCATTTTCTGATGTCCTCAAGTTCAGAAACAAGTGCTGAACCTATTTTTGCTTCATTTTTGATTCCAAATCGAAAAGACGTGGAACTCTATTAAGACGTCTATAACTTAGATGGATTTAGAAAGGCTGCACGTCCAGGACTCCAGCAAACCACCAACAATTGTTTAAACAATTGTCAATTGTTTTGAAAGTTGTTTTAAGAATTGTTCAATTCTTGTGAAAATTCTTTTGAACATTGTTGAATTGTTTTGAAATATATTTTTAAATTTGTTCTTTTTTAGAAAATTGTTGCTTAACAAACAATTTGTTTTTAACAATAGTTCAACAATTGTTATAAATTGTTTCGCGTTGTTTTCCAAACTTTTCAATGCTTGTTAGCTATGCATTGTAGGCTGTATTAAGGCTTTGCGTTTTGACAAATGGCAAAAAAGTCAGTTCACAACAATGTCGTTTTGGCCAAGAAAACCTAAAACATCTATCTGTAAGAAACCGATGTGGCACCATAAAATCAAAAAACTGGAACAAATGACCAAAGCCGCAACAGAAGAGCGGGTGCCAGACTTTTTGCACGCGCAAACGAAAGTCCGCATGTCAAAAACCAGCCGCAGCAAAACTTGGCCTGAGGCCTCCAGTCAAACATCGGCCTGTGGCCTTCCGCCGCTGTTTAGAACAGCCACGGCCGCCAAAGCAGTGGCGACCTCCTCGTCCTCTGCATCCGAGGATGAGCAGCTCTCACGATCTGTTGCCCATGGGACGGCTGCCAGGGCACATTGAAACATCGCCAAGGCCACAGGGAGGGCCATGGCGTTCCCTGCAAGATCATTGAGAAAGCTTTGCGACCGAAGGCCTGGCGGCAATGGTGCCTTTTGCATCAGTGGCACAATGGGGTACCCTTGCAACACCAGGGCTTCAAAGCCTGTAAGCAGTCGTTCCTGCGATTCGATCCACAAAATCTGCCCTGCAGGCAACATGGTCGGCGCAATCAAGCTGCCGCTGCTCGTCGATGAGACTGAGCTGTTTATCCGGCCCAAGCTTTGCGACAAGTTCCTGAACTCACACTCCGGGGCTGCAACTCGTGACAGTACCAAAGCATCGCGCTCCCTCATGGTTAGGGCCTGAAACCATGGATTTGATGCCAGCTTTTCAGCCACTGGGGAAGCCCAACGCACACCAAGCCCATCGGCATAGGCTATGTGTTTGTCCATCCATGTTTGTGGCTGCTTTTGCTCACTGTTCTTCGCCTTCTCAGCACTTTTGGTAGCAATGGCCTGTTGTTGGGCCAAGATCTCCGCCACAAGTTCTTTGTGTTCACTGTTTTCTGGCTGAAAAATAGTCTGCTGGACAAGAGGATGTGTTCCATGCACGAAGTAATCAGGTCGCTGAAGGTCGCAAAAACCCGGCCAATGGCCTCTTCTGTGAAATCGAGTTTATCGCTCGTAACATCAACAAAGAGGATGTACAGCCTGCGACGTCGGCAGGGCAGCCCAAATTCCTGCGCATCCGTCATGACCTTTTTCCCCTCGTAGGACAAGTCGCGCATAGCTTGCATCAGCAGGCTTAGGTTAGTCTCGGTCTGGGCCGATCTTTTGTCATCAATGGCGTCGACATTCTCGTAGATTAACAACACCGGCCTGTGGCCTGCGCAGTACTCAAGCATGCCCCTGAAGGTCTGGGCAGAAGCCCCTTTGGACGTATCTTGGTTCAGAACCAGTTTTGTGCGGTCAACTGAACTATTGGCCCTGGAAAGATCTTTGCACGATGTCCCAACAAACAAGCAATCTACGGGGACCACAGGGCACTTTGCATCGTGCCTAGCGCACGTCGCTTCTTCTTGCCCCATTTCGCATATGTCAGTGAAGACGCAGCCATAGCTTGAGTCACTTGCCAAGGTGTCGCTGCAAACTGGGTCAAAGACCAAACCAGTTTTGAGGACATGTAGAATCCATTCTCTCTTTGTCTTGTTGCTTTCGCACGAAAACAAGTGCTTGAAATTCACTAAAAGGCCAGCGTCCTCAAGGGCCAACATGGCAGCTTCGACAACATAGCGCACCCCTTCACTTCCGGAGCAGCATGAAGCCCATGTGATGAGCTCTGGATAAGGCCTGGCCGTGGGCAACACAGCCTTGAAGCCTTCCAGGTTCTCAGAAGCCAAAGTAGGCAACAAAGAGCCACTGACAATGTCTTTCGCGCTTGCAACCCGCTGGGAAGCAGAAAGCAGCAACGCAGCACCGTCCCCACTGCCCTCTGCGCGTAGTACACGGGCTCTTTTGGCCGGTTGAGAGTTTTCCATGGATGAAGGCAGCGAAGGGCTGGCTTCAGGTGAAACGACTTCTGAACCTAACATTACATTATAACCGTGATATTACCGTACCGTAATGACATTACCGATCTGTCTGCTCTTGTAATCTAAAACGTCCCCTGGGCTCCCGTACAGATCAGCGAGTCATACTTACGAGCGTTGAGGCTGCAACGTTTCACAGGTTGCAAAATGAAACATGCCACTGGGCTGCAGCCTACCAGTGCTTGAAAGTATCTCTGAGCGAGCGTTGTGTAAATAGGGGTGTGCGCGTGTGAGAGAGAGAGAGAGAAAGAGAAGGAGGGGGCAGCGAACCGAAAAACTGTTGAAAACACACTACTCCTCAAAAGTCGGCGTCTGCGCAGCAGCTCTGTTTTCGATTTGGGGCATGCGTCCAGCGCAGAAAACAGCACTACAAAAGCGGCCAGCGGCCCACAGCAACAACTTTTGTCCACCATGGCCAGAGGCCGGAAAATCAGGCAGGCCAAGCAAAGATCAAAGACGCATGAGCCGGCGTGAGGGATGTCACTCAACATCCACACCGTTGGCCTGGCCACGTCCCCTACCGCGCCCACGTCCCCTGCCTCTGGCAGCGGTGTCTGGGGCGGCCTTTGGCTTTGCCTTTGGCTTTGGCGCGCTCTTGCATTTACCTTTCGGCCTCGGGGTGGCCTTGGGCTCTGGCACAGGGCGTTCTTCTTCTTCTTCTTCAACCTTTCGCTTTCTGCTCTTGGCCTTTTCAACCTTGTCTTCCGCCTGCTGGCGCCGCTCCTTCTTTTCCTTCTTCTCCTTCTTGTCGTGTTTGTCACTCTTCTTGTCTTTGTTTGTTTTCTTGCCCTCACCTTTGTCTTTGTCCTCCTTCTTGCGTTTCTTCTCCTTCTTGTCTTTCTTGTCTTCTTTGTCATCGTCGTCTCTTTTCTTCTCTTTCTTGTCCTTGCCTTTGCTCTTCTTGACCTCGTGTTGGTCGTCTTTGCGCTCACCTTCCTTTTCAGGCTCTTCCTCCCCCCCCTGGCGCCTTAGGCCCCCTTTCCTTTTGTTTGCAGCTCTCACCATCTTTGCAAGCGTTGGCATCTTTTTTTCCTTTTGCGACGACGGCGTCTGCCCCCAGCATGGTTGCGCTGGGGGGTTTGCTTTTCACTTTCCTGCAGCGTATTCCACACATAGATGGCAGCGCAGGGACTACTGTGCGAACGGCCAAACGGCGGACTACCTTCCAACAACTGGCTGCAGTGCGCAACCTGGCCAGAGGCCTGTGATGCCTAGAGCCATCGCTGCCTGCAGTCCGCAACCTGGCCAGAGGCCTAGAGCCAGTCCCGCCGCTGGTACCAAGGGTTGCGATCATACCACTCCTGCGCTGAAGCTCGAGGAGGCGGCTGCAGCGGCCTTGCATTCCAATGCCTTTGGAGCCACATCGCCAAGCCCACGTTGCACCCCAGCGCCAAATCAACCTGAAAGGCAAAGGGCGTCAGTATCACTATAAATCTAAAAGATTTAAGACTCTTAAGACTTTGAAGGTTTCAGGCTTTGGGGCCCAAGCCTAAGAGGCGGTCAAAGAACACAACAAAACCTTTACAACCAATCAGGTTGTCCAAGGAACACAGCCCCGTCCGCGGGCATCAGGCTGGTTCAGCAGGGAAGAAACCAGGCCAAAGGCCGCCTCGTTGCCTGTCGCTTTATTGTGCATCGCCCAGACAACTTTTCTCGTTGTCCGGTTCATGCCTTTGCTGCATGACATATGCAAAGCACTCATTCCGTTCGCAGCCCTTGCTTCCACGGTCGCCAGCGAGCTGTTGTTCACCAGCAGGTGCAGAAGGCCCATATATTGCGACTCCGACAGGCCGGGCCACCCTGAGTCAATAAAGACCATGAGGAGAGACCAGTGCGCGGGCCTCCCGCTCGGGGAGGTGAATTGGTCGCAGACGTGTGGGTTGATTGAGACAAGGCGTTCAGCCACCTGCCATGCCCCAATCCGCGCTGCGTGGTGCAGCAAGGTTCTGCCATCGCTGTCACTCAAGGCCAGCACGACGCTCGGCCCGACATCAACCAAAAGGTCCAAGACTGTCAGGGGCTCAGGCCCCAACAACGCCCTGAGGGCTTCCACTTGCAGGGTCTGGCGGGTCAACTCCTCTTCAGACCTGGCCAACACAGCTTGCCTCTGCAAGCGCTGCTCTTCCAGGAGCTCCAGAACCCTGGACATAACCTCGGAGTCTTGGTTCCTGAGAGAGTGGTCCAGTGGCTGCTTCTCACCCTCCAAAACAGACCGTCCACAGTCACTCGCTGCTGCTCCCTGCTTCTTCGAGTTGGCTGCAGGCTCATCAGGGGCGTAATCAACTTGGAACTCTCCTCCTTGACCTCGTTGGCGTGCAGGAGAAGCTCAGATTCAAAACTGTTCAGACTGAAAAGCCCTTACAACTAGAAATAAAAGTGTGTGTCAAAAGAAAGACTCAGCTACTACAGCCTACAGTAGTTTGCCAAACACATGTCACATGGCTAACAAGAAACGTGGCCAGTGGCCAACAAGAAAGCAAACGTTAGTCCAGGCACAGTGAGCGTCCTCCTTCTGAGCTTCCATCTCCACATTGCCGCCGTCATCCTTCTGGTCTGGCACGTCTATGTCACATATGTCTGCTTGGTCAGCAGGCTTCTCCGCAGGCTCGTCAGCAACCTGGGTAGTGGCCGGAACTTTGTCTGCAGCGGCAACCTGGCCTACATCCGCTGAGGCCCTAGCCTCGGGCTGCTCTGGTTGGTCGGCAGCTGCAGCATTCAAGCCTCCTTGCTCTTTGACATTTGGCGCAGTCGGCTCTGCAGTGGCCTGCTTCTGCTGGGCTACGCTGGGCATCGCTACTTTGTCTGCAGGCATCAAGAGCACCATCATTTTGCTGTCCAACGCTTCAAGGTCTGCGCATAGCTGGTTAAGCTTCGCAGCCCGCATCTTTTTGCTTGCCAGTTCGTCCTTCAGAACCAGAAAACCATCGCCAGAGGCGGTAGGCAAGGAGCGTTTCAAAGAAGGTGTGAAGCCCCAAGAAGCCTCCGACTCCATTGAGCTGTTCAGCTCTTGGCTTGAAACCGTGGAGAAGCCATGTTCAAAGCCACCACTGCTGTAACCAGGATCCTGCTCCCCAGACCCTGTCTTTGCTGCCTTGGCTTTAGGGCGTGTATGCATCGCCTCAAAGCCAACCTGGATTGCCTTCTTTCGGAAGGCATGCGGGCTCAGAACCTGGCATATGTCAAACGTCCAGGCCTCTGCAAGGATGCGGTCTTGCCACTCTAACAACCAATCCGAGGCTGATCGGGGGCTTCTCCCAGGTGGCTTGAAGGAAAGGTCCACACAATTCCTCAAGCTACACAAGTAGGTCTCTGCTTTGTCAAATGCGGTTCCAGTCAAATACATAACCAGGCCACAGGCCAAAGCAGCACTCTTGTGAGCACCTGTCATGCAGCATAACAGAATGCCTTGGCCTTCCTCAAGCCGCTTTGCCAGCATGTCGCACACCTCCAGCCATGAAACCATGTCTCCGTCCCCGTTGATCAAGGCACCTGCTTCAACATGGTCCAAGACCGTGTAGGTCATGCTTTCATCAGGAAGAGGCCGACGGGAAGCCGGTACAATTGTCTGAATGCCATTCTCAGTCAGAAGATTCCTGTCCATGATTGCGTTCTCTCCGCCCAGCCATAGTTTCCCATTGCATCCTTTCTTGAAGCTTGAGCAGTCCAAGACCAAGTGTAACGGGTGCCTTGCGATTGGTCCATTGGTGATATTATTGGGCTGCCCCCACCAAAAAACAAAACTAGACGACTATGACTTTCACCCAAAATGGACCAAAAACATTGTCTTGGAGCAACATCCTTTCAAGTCAGCGAAGGCGCCGAGAGTTGTAGGCCTCGCGGCCCCACTTGACTGCTTCCTTGCCTCCATACGCGTCGCCCGCGAGGGTGGACTGCAGGCCTGACCACGCATCCCACACGTCCTGGTCGCTCAGCTTGCTGGTCGGCCACATGCAGGCCATACACACTCTGAAACCTCAAGTCACCAGGCGAAAAGCCGCTGCTCAAACCCTGTGAGCGCAACGCGGCCACAAACTCCCTCTGGCCTTCTTCCATGGCGCCAGCGAGCGAAGCCGGCGGCCGAACTTAAAAAAAAGGGCCAAGAGCTCTACGAAACAGCCACGGGTAAGGGCAACGTAAGGTCGTAAGGGACAAGGAAACCTTGTTGAAAGAACACTTGGTCGACGAAAACCAACTCAAACCCTCAACTGTGCACCCAAAAACTGTCCTGTCCATGGCCCAGCAAAGAACTCCAAGAAGCGGGTGTGAGCATCTGCCTTGGCCTGGTCCACTTCTCCCCCGTGCTTCACCAGGTCAAGGATTTGCTTTGCCCAAACCCGGCCAGAGGCCCATTCTTCCTCAACACCATCAGGAACCTGGTCAATGACCACCAACTGCGAAGCCAGGACATCCCGAACATGGTGGGTCAGTCTTCGGATAACATGCCCTGAACGCAATGTCTTAGACACGGCGTAAGCGCCTGTCAACACGCTGAAGAACTTTGTCACTCTCTCTATCACATTCCCAGCCCGGTGCTGGACGCACTTCAATGGAAGCAAAAATGTCCTTGGGTCCTGCACAGACAGGAGGTGATTCAAAAGTCTCACGTTCGCTGGCGCTGCGTCGCACGTGACAAGCACAGCCCTGATCTTCGAGGAGATCGTTGATAAACCAGGCCAGAGGCCACCAGAACCTGCGCACAGCGCTGGGAACATTGTCACAGCCTGCTTGTTCGCTATTGCGACAGGAGCCCTAATCATGTCAAAATCATGCGTGTGTCCATTCAGCCTGAAAGACACTTGTGCGTGACTGGCAAGCACAGACCAGGCTCCAAGCCCCAGCTCGTGCAAATTCACCTCTAATTCTGTTTCATCAAACATGAACGTGGTCAAGGCAAAGTCAAAAACATGGTCTCCTCTTGGAGCTTCATGGGCAGCCTGTGCCAAGAATTGGGCTAGTCCATCCTTCTGGCCAGCCATTACCAGCTGAGCTGCAAAATGCTTACACTCAGCAGCATGCCGATGGCCACTCCCATCGACTTGAGAGGCCGCATGCCTCACGGCCATGCCCTCACTTGCAAAGGCACTTCTCAACACGGCGTCAGGCGTCCACGTTTTCTATTTGCCTTTGCCTGTCTTACAAACGCCCTTGCAAACACCACTGCCGGGCACGTTGTAGTCAGCAGTCCTGTTTCGACCTGTGCGATTGGCATGCCTGGCTAAAGACTGGAAGGCCTTCGCAGCCTCAGCTTGGCGCTTCTGCTTTGGTCCCAGCAGCCGCAAGAGTGCCCCACGGCTTTTATGCCTCAAAGGCACAGCAGCCCTGCGCCTGCCTGCGCAACCAGCTGCAACTTGCAAACCAGGCCTGCGGCCACCTCTGGCCTCCAAACCAGGCCTGTGGCCACCTTCGTGCTCAGCACCACCTCCATATTGCTGAGCCAGGTCAGCCAAAGCTCGAAGGTCCATTCTGGCGCCTGCGACGCCGTTTCACAGGCTGAGGCGTCAAGCACTCATCAGCAGGCAACGCCCGCTTTCGGGGCGATGGCGATGGGGTCCCTAAGAAATCACAATCGCAGTCTTTAGCACATCGTCTGGCAATTTCTTTTTCTGCCTCTGTCAAAAAGTCTGCAAAGTATTCCAGAAGACTAGTTCGTATACCAGCAATACAAATATGTCATAATAGCAAGACTAGTTCGCTACTCTTGTCTTCCAAGGCTTGGGCCGACAATGGCAATTAACAAGTGAATTTGTGCCTGCGCCCAAGCCTTCAAAAGGTTCAAGTTTCGGAGAACAACAGCTCAAACAAGACAGCAAGGGAGGCCTCAATAGAAGCAAACAATTTTGTAAAAAATGTTTTCAACAATGAACATTGTTTACAAGAATTGTTTCAAAATGTTCTACTTATTCTTAACAATTTCGCAACAATTGTTAACAACTTCTTTTTATATTCTAAGAAATTTCTAAAATGTACAAAACAATTTCCAAAACAATTAAACAATTGCGAAAACAATTTAACAATATACCGACGATTTTTTCTTGCGTTCCCTCCACAGCTGTTCTTAAATCCATTCAATCTATAACATATTATTGTTTCGCTGATTTATCAACAGTTTATGTTTTTTATTATGGTGTAGGGGCGGATAATAGAATTTCAGGGAGGACTTTCAAGTTTTCAGGGCCACAGCTGCTGCTCGCAGCAAGCGTGTGGCCCTGACGTGGAGGCTCAAGGATTTGGAAGAGTCATGAGTTCAAGAAGAGGTGTGTATTCACAGTTTCTAGAATAGCAAAAAGCCAAAGGGTTTGATTTGATGAGTTACGTATAGCAATAGTTAGGTAATTGTCGTATATATAGTAATGGACTCTGAGGTTCATATGAAGAACATCTCGTGACATGAGTTAGGATTGAAAGTTCATGCTGCGTAGTGACTACGTGATACTACGTGCATGTGCATGAAGCCAAGAGTGTTTCACTCAGGCCTAGCAACTGGGGCAACTTTGGGCAATCATCCATGTTGGGAAGATGGTCTACCATGTAAGAAGAGACCGGTCCATGGTGGATGCTTCCGGACCGGGACCAACGCCCCGGCGACCCTCGGATCCGGGGGTTCGCCCCGGCGACGGAGCGAGGGCCTCCAAGGAGAAAATCTGAAGCCACTGGAAGAAGGCGGCTAAGTCCTGTGGCCAGTGAACCTCAGTGATGCGATGATGTGGTGCTCTCCTGCGGTCAAACCGGTTGGACCAAACAGGGAAACAGGAGAGCAAGAGAATTCCAGCAGCACCAGTGATGTTTGATGGCTTTTGGCCTCTCCGAGCGATTGCGCGGGACCGACCTCAAAGCTCAGAGTGAAAGAGTCGGAGGAAAGTAAGGTCAGCTGACTGAGAAATCATGGGACACTGTTGTTATCAACCGCTTTCTTGGTCGAAAATGTTAGACATGTCAGCTTAGGTGTTTTGAGAGTAGAATCAATGGACCAAGTTTATCCCAGCTTTCTTGAGACAGACTGTTCAAATATCCCTAGAGCAAAGTAGTCAACATGTTGCCTACAATAGGTGTTTTGATGGGCTTTGACTAGGGAAATCCCCAAGTAATACACAAATCTGCTGGATACAGACATAATAATGAAGAACGGACCTGCTCAAGAAGATGTCCAAAGAGAACGGGTCATCTTCAATGTCCAACGGTCCAAAGTGTAGCCGTCTCAACACACCTATCCCCAATGTGAATTGAATGCAACAGGAGCTCAGTCCCTACAATGGCCCTACAAAAAAGAACACGCATGTTGGAGACCCACAACTGGATTTGTCAGTGCACATATTCTTCTTATATATATACATCCAAACATCGACCTGTGAATACTTCATTGTCCCGGGCTATCTAGCCCCTAAAGGTAGAATTTCGCTCTTCTCAAGGCGTTGGGGTCTGCTCAGAATTCTGGCTCTCAAGATGAACAAGTCACCGACTCTCAGTGTGCTTTCATCATCTCTCATCCTATCATGACCACAAACCAGCCGATGATCTTCCTATCGTCCAAGCGGCGGTGATTTGCCCGATGATAGACAGGGTCTGTAGGGTGTTGGACGAGATATCCACCACCTGAGCTTTGGCATCCCACACAAAGTTTAACGAAACAACAAGACACATAAACATGGAACGTGCCTTCTTACTGCTCTAAGAATCCTGCTCAAATATAGGTTTTCAGGGTACAAGACTGTACAAGGGACCCTTTTATGTTCGTGCTTTTCGCCACTGTGAACTGGAGAGGATTCTTGGAGAGGATGCCACTGCGCCAGGCGCCAGCAGAGCACGAAACATTGGCAACCCCTTTTCAGGCATTTCCATTGGGAGGTTGCAAACACCTAATTACGGAGCATCTGGCATGCTCCTATGTATGGTTCTCTTGTTGCAGTGAGTTCAAAATCATCAAACGTACAAATCTGTAGACCCCAACACAAACAGAAAGGTGAATCCGATCAAACCTTGTTTTCAAGCTTGTTTCTGTATCTGCTGGTGGACCTCTTGTGAGGTTTTGCGGTAATTAATTAACGTGTGTGTCCAACCAGCTTTGATCTCGGATTAGATAGTTTTCACTTCGCGTTATGCAATAAATCACACGGAGCAACTGTTAACTGGCATGCAAAACAACATAAAATGGAGGACATCACCCAAAATGCTGCCATTGCTTCAACATCTTGCCTCGAGAACCAACACCGGACCAGCCATCCTATGCCTAGTCCGTGGCAAACTGGCGGCAACCCCCGAAGAATCGCCGATCACGCCCGGCCGGCGCGCCGAAACGCCGCAACGCGAATGCAACGCAGCCCAGGTGCCGAAAAGAGCGTGAAGGTCAGCGTCTCTGCAGGCCTGGCTTTCCTGGCACAAATGGCCGTTGAGCCGTTAGCACCTTCGAGCCTGGGGAGTGTTTTTTGGAGTGACATGATGGGCTGTTGGATCAACCAAAACATGGAATAAGAACAAGTGATGGGTCTCGAAGTTCATTTGTCACAATTAGTGACATACAGTCACATAGTGACATGGTTGCCTGGAGCCGGCATGGTATGGCATGGTTCTAGTCACGAGTATCATCAGTAGTAGCGGCTAAGAAAGGCCTTCGGTCACTGAACACCCGGGCACTTTGCACTGAACGACTGCCTCGACAACCATATATTCAAAAAACTACCCATGGCTATCTGAATCAATGATCTGACACCAAAACTTGACATCTCCCACTGAGCCGCCCCGACTTGATCATCCCCAAGCCCACCTTCGGCCTTGGTCGACGGCGTTCGCAAAACAGCCGTCACACCGGACCGACGTGGGCGGAGAGGGTTTAGATCCGTTGTTTTCATTGAAGCCATCGAACACATGAATATATTATGTTCTTGAATATGCTGGGATGCATCTGAGGTATTGGGTGACATGGCTTGAGGAGCATGGTGATTGAGCTCGAGGTCAGCTTGCGAAAAAAAAGGTTGCCTTGTGACCTTGTGGTGAGAATACCAACCAGTTGATGGGGAAGGATAAATGTTCATCATGCAAAGCACAATTCCCTTTTGTCCTCCTTCTCATGGTACAATATAGGATCTTCAAACGCTGACTGGACCGAAAATTATGGTGCTTTCACCTGGCTCGAAGCGAAACTTCCTACTTCCTGGCAGCGGATCGGGTCAGATCCACCTTCCTTCCCCCAAAAGGTTCCGTATTTCAGTAGGAACTTTGGAGAAGCAAATCTGAGTTGAAGGTTTCAATCATTTTCAATCTATTTGTCCCTATATAGGATTCCAACCAACATCACTTCAAGAGTCTTTACCGAACAGATATTGTACATTTCGGATTTGACACTGGACCAGATCGTTTCGGAAAGAGCCCGTCAAACGGAAGCCTGTGTTTTCTCGAGGCCGATTGAAAAGACTGACTGCGGAGACCTGCTCGGACAGAGATCCAGTGTCCACGCTCCAAGCCAACACTCATGACCGGTTGTAGGAATTGCAATCACAGGGATTATGAATGATTATGACATATTAGTCATGGATTCACACAGTGTAGATTCCTGCATGACTGGTTCCCCTGTAGACTGTTCACCCAGGTTGCTTCTCAATATGACTGTTCACCCAAAGAAGATTCCTGGACCCACCCGATGTGTTCCTTTTTCTCCAATCTCCCCGGTCAGGGTGGCCCGGACTCGTATTGAGAGAAGGGAAGCGCCAACAACAGCACCACAGCCGCACAAACCCAAGCCATGGTCAGCCAAACCGGGCAGTCCTCAACAGGAAGTGACGCCAAATAGGAGAGGCTAACATGGGCGGAACATGTGTGGGAAATCAATGGAAATCATCGAAACCTGCAGAAACACGATGGAAAATCTAAAGACATATGTTCAGGACACGAGTGATTCACATCCTTTTAGCATATACTGCTATATATATATACTATTTAATGCCAGGATTACTCTGCAACTCTTTTCTATCCAGGATGGTTGAACTGGACTTCAAAACGGTTAAGCTGCAACCTGGACCTTCCAACCTGTAGGGCTCAAAGACATCAACAAACATGTGTCAGCAAGAACCACTCCAGGCACTCTCGGCTCCCGACCACCCTATTGAAAAAAGCGATGAAAGTCAACTTATCCCTAGGGTGTCAACCATATCAGAAGCTGGTTAACCCCCCTGGCACCCACCCCAACCACCTTCGAAACGGACGGTAAGCCAGGAATGCTAGGGTATATTGAACATCTGTGTACTTCGGACCACTGCAATTCCCGGATGTTCACCTACGTGGCATTCAAATCGAACTTCAACTTGTCACAGTGGCCCAGTATGAGTATGGGCCAGATCTATCGATAGGTGAAAAAGGAAAACACCCAGGTTAGAGTTTGCATTGGGAAAGACTGGCTACTGTGACGCTGCTCCACAATCAAGTGGCTGCTCAGGTTCCAGGTGGGTGTGGGGCAAAACCAAATAACATAAATTTCATCCAATTTCGCAATTTCAGGGCTCAACAAGGGTCCGGCTTGCTTGACCTTTACCGGGTTACTTTTTGGTACCGCACGCATGGTTGGTACCGTAAAAAATGAAAACAACATTTAAAAGTAGAACGACGGTGGTACCAAACAGCGGAAATTCCTTAATGACACATTCGTCGGAACCTCAAAACATCTGCACCTAAAATGGGCTTCTCCAAGCAGCAGTGCAACTGGCATCGCCGTCCTCACCAGCGACCTGCAGCTTGCTGCGATACTGCAGTGACATGCCAGTGTGTCACCGTGTGTCACCGTGTGTCTGTGCGGAGCCTCGAATGGATCCAAATCGAAACGCTGTGGATCATGGCATCAGGAGACCGACAGGTTGACCGGCCAGGGACCCCCCTGACCCATCGTGCCATGACCCATCGTTCGAAGGACTGTTTAAACATGTGCAAAACAGAACGGCGAGTGGCCACTCCTACACATGGCATCTCCTGAACAACCATGAAGTGTCGGTTGAGTCGGTTCCAAGATGTTCCAAGAATTTCTTCCACGATGGCGCCATCTGGGGGATCGAGGTTGATATCCGACGATCGATCCAAATGCTGCTGTACATGGATGATTGCACCTTGTTCACGTCCACGAGTCGGTTCAACTCTTCGTGCCGCATCCCCCCAATGCTGCAACCAACGCTGCAACCCACGCGGCCCAATGTTGGTTCTGCGGACATTCGGAACACACTTCACCGAAGAGTCCTCAGGTGAGGTCTCTCAGGTCTCTCGGTGTTCGCGCGAAACGGCGAGTCCTGCGGTGTCATGTTTACGGCGTCTCGACCGAGTCGACCGAGTCGGTTCCAAACAAATTGGGTTCTAGGAACGAGGATACTAAGTGGAGGCCATCGATACTATAGGAACAAGGACGCTACTATAGTATAGCAACTGTCTCTTAGTCCAAGATCGATCAGTTTTGACATGTTTTGACCGTTTCGTCGAGCAGTCGACTGGAGGAGGAGTCGTTGTCCTTGTTCGGCAGAGCCGTCGAATCGAATGGACCGCTGCGGAGGCCACACCCCAAGATGGTTCTGTGTACAAAGAAAGCAAGCAACACTGTCTACACACCAAATAACCAAGATGGAAGGACATCAATTGGGCGTAGGAAGGCTGCTCCCCTCTTCAGAAAGTACTTCCATGCTTGTGAGTCCGTGTGTAATCAATGAAAAACAAGGGTATCCTGTATAATTGCATGATCTGCAGACTGGCACATTTTAACACTTGTAATTGCAGACTGACTCAAGGCTGCAAGTACCGCCAGTGCTACATCTGTCAATTGGTACTTGACGCCAGAAACAATACTTTCCCAAGGGTCATGCGCCATTTCCATATAATAGTGGTTATAGTGGTCACGAGTCTAATGTTTCAGTCATAGTTCCAAAAGCTCTCAATGATAACAAAACTGGAACAAGGAGCCTGAGGACCCCTAAATGCCCATCTCAAGTTCATGAACAAAAATGCGAACACCACGGACCTCTCTTCCACTCGGTCCCATTCCCCCGCATGTTTCCAGCAAGCAGCCCGAGCCACAAGTGCCTGAAAACACGGGTGAAACAGCTTCGATTTGCAGGGCCGGCCGCTTCTTCAACGCTTCGAATCGCGTGGACCCCCAAAAAAGGCGGGTGGAACAGGGATGTCTGGGGGAGGTGGAAACAACGGCTGTGAAAAGCAATGTCATTGGGATGTCCGAACAGCAATTTCTTCATAGTCCAGAAATTGGATCTTCAGGATTTCCGCTACCACGTTGGACACTGCAACACGATGGGTGGGTTCCCAGCATACGGGGCATTTCAGAACACACTTATCCATAAAATAGCGTATGATCTTTTGTATCGCAGCAGCGACAGGGCTTCAGCCACCTGAACTATATCACACGGCATCACTGCGATGCAACCTCAAAATATTTGTTTGATTATATGGTGAGGCCATTCGACATTGAAGAGAAATGAATTTGGGAATTCTACGCACATTCAGCAGCTAGGCCCACTTGTCTGCCGTCGTCTTCGCCCGTTTGACCATCGTGGTTTGGTCCGGTACAGGTGGAGACCCGGTTTCAACGAACCCTTCCGGTCGTTGCGTAGCCATCGCGTGTGGAACGGGCTGTTTCGAGTCTGAGAATCCAGACTGGAGGGGTCTGGGGTTTCTCACCAATCCAGTCGGTTCTGAAAGGACCAGTCGGGCTGTGAACGGAACATCTGGGATAGCTTTTTGTATGTTGATATCATGTTGATTGGCTAGCCACCTTAAGGTGGACAAAAAGACAAACATGATCAAAAATGATTGAAACGCGTGGCAGCCGTTGAAAAAATGATTGCGCTTGGAAACCGCAAATGGGTTTCACAGGTGATGAACCTTTCATAGAAAAATAAAGGGTCGACTCGAGAGGTTGACGTAGATCTACAATCACTGGTATGTACTGAGGGTGATGTTGGAAACTACCCACAACCATGCATTAGATTTCCGTGTTGCATATAGACATGGTCCGAAAGAACACCATGTGTTAATGCAAGTTCGAACTTTGAAAGCACCAAGACGTTGCCCAAAACGTGCGGGTGTTGGTGCTGGTGTTACCAGCCAGCCCGTTACCGACACACGGTCTACCACCAAGGTGCTGGGTGTACCACCAGGACAGCGGTCCTCCCCGCCGCATTTCAACACCTCGAGAGCGGCGTCGCGCACCGAGGTATAGCCAGGCAACCTGGGCGACGGAGAGGCGGTGGAGAGGCGAGCAGCGGAAGTGAGGCTTTTTGGCACACTGGAAAAAGTGGGGGTGTCTTTTTAGGCCGGGAACACATATAATATATTATATATATTTTATATTATATAAGAATGGCTATAATATGATGTACATTGAGATGAATGGTTTTAGAGAAGAAGGAGGAATCATGAAAACATCACGTTTGGAATCGACATCTTGACAACTTGAGGGATACCCTGTGCCACACCCTGTGCCACAGTTGTGATGGATTGCTTGTTTATCATCCAGCACAGCAAAGAGGTGAGAATAGGTGAGAATGGGTGAGAAGAGCATGGCACAGTGACTAAATCGTGACAGTGACATTGTGCGTGCATACGATCTTGACATTGGACCCCAATCCATTTTCTTCGAGAAGCACCAAGAACATCCTCCGCGGGCGGGCCAAATCCCACGGCTTCCGTCTCAAGGGTCTGAAACAGTTCGGGCCACCCTGGCGCCACGTCTCCTCCCGCGCGGTTCCCACGTTTCTCGCTCAGTTCGGGACAAGCTTGGGACGTGCATCTCCCCAAGGCTTGACACCCCTGGCGGAGAAATCATCGAGTCCCGACTCGGGTCGACGCCGAATCCGTTCCGAAACCGCGGCCCGTCGGTGCCAGGCTGATCTGCTTCAACCGGGAGAATGGATGACCTGAATTGGCTTAAATACTACGACCTCCGAAACGACCTCCAGCAGACCGAAAACTCCGTCGATCCCCGATCCGATCCGCCTGTCTCATAGCTGTCGATGGTGGAGAGAAGAGGGCAGGACAAGCCCTCTTGGCCTGATCCACACCCATCGGTGCTGCCATTTCGGTGCCGCCATTTCGGAGCTACATTGACCAGATGTGGCAAGAAAAGGTCAACATTGGATTTTAGATATTGTAGATTGTGTTACTATTCGGCTCATCCGAATGCCAAACATAGGGAAGAGGGTGATAATTCACCACTTCGTTGACACCAAGCATAGCCCTCCTGGACTTTCACATGACATGACACGGATCGACACGGTACGTTTTAGAGATATGAGCGGTTCAGAAGCCAAGTGTTGTCGAACAAGAAATCACATCAAATCAGCCCCTTGTGGCAAACAACCCCTTGCGGAATTTGGCATCGTCCATAGTCGGACCTTCCTGCATCTTCCACTACGAGACATATCGTATGGCCATAACCCTGGCCCTACCTCGGCAGCCGCAACCTGTTGGCACCTCAAAGATAACAACCAATTTAAATGTTGAACACAACTCCTCCATCGTTCGGGCTGCTAGGAGCGCCATGAAGCTGAAAGTTGGCACAACATGAGGGTCATTGAGTTCACCTCGCCCCGAAACACATCGTGCCAATCTTCTCCCAGGCACAGGAAAGGCAGTTGGGCAAACCATCCTCGCGATGAGTTTCCTGGGAGAAGCGCTGGGAGAAGCGCTGGGGAAGTGCTGTGGGTCAGTGAACCCCTCTGGCTGTGGGGAGGGTCATGGCACTGGTGCCATGACCTGGTGTCGGTCGTTCACCTCGCCACACCAATGAAGAGAAGAAGCTGAGGGTCACGAGCCACCAAGCATCTGAGTTAGTCTGTGGAAGCCAAGGTCCAGGGCGAACCTAATGTAGACTCTTGATTAATAAACCCTTCCATTTGAATTGGAAGTCGTATGGGGGGTTTATGGTCCTCAATAGTCTACCTTGGCTTAGATCCGAACGTGCTGTTGACAGCCTGGACCTCCGAGCCGCGTCCATCCGGCGATCCGGGCGTGCGTTCATGCCGGGACCGGTCGGTCTCCATGAGTAGAGGTCAGTCAAGACACGGTGGGCGCTGCGATGCCCTACAAGTAGCAAATCCACGTGACATCGCAGTGGAACACGGGACCTCTATGAATATAGCAGGCAGTCAAATCAACAAGCCCCATTGATACGATGCCGCATCAGTCAAGGAATTTTTTAGCAATCAATGATTGAACATAAAGAAACGTGCGCTCAACAATTCTGGGTGTAAAAACAGGACTGTTGCGACTTGTGATTCCGGGCCAAGAAAGCAATGATGTTGCTGGTCGACATGGTCTGTCTCGGTCTGTCGCAGCAGTGGGGGGAGCTACAGACCATAGTAGCGTCTGATACACGAAGAGTACACAGGCTGCCAGCTCCGGCTCCAGACTGTAAAGAACAATATTAATGAGCAAACATAATGAGTAAAACAAAAGGATCTTCTCATATTTTCAAGTGTGTGAACTGGTAATATCACCACTCCAAATCCGCGTGTGAGGTATGGCCTGACCTGTTGTGCATGTTTGAACAGTTAGTGACTCTGCCGGTGTTTCACCATGGCTGAGCCATGGCTCTCCTCTCACCAGCTGGCAAGAAGCCATGGGCGAGTAAACATCGAACTTGTGGTCTGGGATATTCTCTTGTGGTTCTGGAGCTACGACATGCCCATTTCCTGTGATGTTCCATCTTCCAGCATTCCCCATTGAAACAACACATGCACATCCAGTACCTTGTTGCTGCCAAAGCTGGTCTGGGCCAGAAGGCAAGCAATTGGAGACCAACAGGCCTAGCCGAAAAGAGCATCAAGACTGTCAGTGAGGATACTTACGGGTCCAACCACCTCTTCAGGGTCCAACCTCCAGGCTGCCAGGGTCTCTGTTCTGCGCATCCGCCAAGGCTCAATAAAGCCATCGAGACATCCACAGTCTTCGATTGAGAGGGACCCCAAGCCCAAGGTGGTCGTGCCATTGTCACAGGCGATGCACTGTGCAGAGCCCGGCAAATGCTGATAGAAACCTGCGGATGTGCGTGTTCGATGTGTCTGTGTGTTCGATGTGTTCGATGTGTGTGTTCTTGATTCAGAATCCGTAGCTCATTCAGGTTGTGTCTATAGAAGACAGTAACAGTATATTGCTATATCACTTGCCATATCATACAACATTGATATCACTGCATCTTTCTGCTATCCTCTGGAACTGTTACATTGCTTCTGTGGTTTCACCGTTTCACCTCGCGTTTTCACAATGTGGGATCAACGTGTCCTTCCCTCAGAACCTGTGGAATCGATCGTCCAAGTTTGAACATCGATCTGAAACCACCATCCACTTTTGGGGACGCTTGATCCACCAAGTTGGTTTCTGTTTCTTGGTTTTGGATATATCTGAAACCAAACCACCATCCACCAAGTTGGTTCTGTCAGATATATTTGCTTCTTTGTCCCATCTGCTAGGCTAGATCCACAAAACACCCGCAAAAAGAGACCCTCCTGTTGCTTAGACTGAAGCCGTCGTGTTATCTGGTACAGTTCAAAAAAATGCATACATCGAGAGATGCGCATTCTTTCAGGCTTATGCTGCTCTTGACATGTGATCCCTTCCACATCAGACACCATGTCTAACGTTGCTACCGGAGCTGCAAACATCTACTTAGGCGTTGCCAACCCATGGGTCCCTTTGATGAATTTGGTTGAATGGTTATAACTTATAACAGACCTTCTAGCAATTACTTTCTTGAGGATCCAGGATGCCGTTGGCTCCATAGTTTCACTACCTGATCGTCTCGGATGGTCTAGTCTACACAGTGAATTTCCTTCAGATAGACCAAGAAACACACATTACACATGACATACTGATGAAGAACATCCTCAACATCCTGCAATATGCCCAGAAAAGCCATGAGAAGGGCTGACAAGGAGGTCAGCTCCTGAGCTCGTCCCATGGTTTTCAGGACCCGTTGACCCGTCAGCACCATCTGCCAAGACACCTTGTGCACAACGCTTGCAGGCCACACTTCCCTCTTGGTCCTGGTACTCACCTCAGCTGTCCTTCGTCGTACTCCGTCCCACTCATTTGGCCCCATGCAGTTGATTAGAAAGCAAGGCACAAACACCAAGGATGGGTTAATCGGTTAATCGATGCCAAGAGTGCAGACAAGGCGGCCGGAGGGGCACCTGGTGCATTGAAGTGTTGCAGCCAAGTTTTGGTAGGTACCTGCGAGGCTCGCGAGGCATGTTTGTCACTGTCCCTTATCACCACTCCTGGTTCTTCATCCACTCCAAATTCAACAAGGCAAACCATAAACCGAACCACAGAAACACGAAAGCGAACAAAGGGATGTCCACTGCATGCTTTAAAGATGCTTCCTTGGCAGTCCACGGAGTCATGTCTACAAATCGAGGCTCCCAAAGACACCCTTCCAAACACTAATGAAGACACCCTGGGAGATTGTTTTCCTCTACCAACCAGTAGTTTTCAGGGTCCATGTTAGTCTTCCAGCGGGTAATCAGAAAGTCTGAAGCAACTCGTGCAGCTCTGGATTGGGGCGTCTGCCAGCTCTGAGTCGTGTTCTTTGGGTGTCAAACACAGAAATGACCCTCGTCTAGACTCTAGACACACGCCCACTGTCCCACCATATTCCAAGATCGATCAAGTAGTTATCTTTCTGTTTTGCCAGCCAATGAACAAACCACGTTGTGGCGCCCCAGGCCCATATCTTTCAGGTTCACTACCTTGACAGCATCCAGGAGCCCTCTGACCCAACGGGTTTTGCATTCCAATTCCATGCTGGAAAACCAACTCTGCCCCAGATTTTGTTGACACCCAAGAGCAACACCTGCTATGTACACATACACGGTCACTGCCGAGGCCCACCGACAGTCCCCCACGTGAAGCTGTCGGCACCTCTGGGACATTTCTCGCAGCTGTGCGTCTTCCCAAAGCTGTCTAACAGCACCTGCCGACGTCAATGTTAGAGACCACAAGCTACATGAGATGTCAGACGGCGTATGGGTTGACCACCTAGACAGTTGACCAATAGGTTGACCACCTAAAAGGGTTAACCACCAACACCAACACCCAGAATGCTTTCCCCACCAGGAAGACGACCCCAGCTTGCTTTTCCCAGCTCTACCTCTCGAGTTCGCTCTCCGGCTCCAGCGTTCTGGGTCACCGACCACTCATCAGTCGATGCTGGAATGCATGTGGATTGAGCATCAGCTGTCGCATATATACCCTAATTATCATATATAGCCAAACATATTGTGGACGACTATGGTGATGATATCGAATCACTTCAACCTTACACTAAATATCACTATATAGCTCATATAATACTGTCAGCCAAAGCAACAAGTGCCAACAAGTGCAAACCAAAACCCCAAACAAGAAGCTACTAGTAGCTCCTGGCATTACTACTGGGGAAAAAAGAACTACTAGGAGCAAGGGCATCGCTACTAGAAACAAAGGGCACTATTATATAAAATATACTAGTAACAAAGGGTATCGCAACTACGAGCAAAGCAAAGGGCATTTCTACTATTACTAGGAGCAAGGACGCTACTACGTAGTAGCTCCTGGCCTTACTACACTACTAGTAGTAGCATTCTTCCACCGGTGCGGAGAAGTCCCACCGTGCTGGTCCATTCTCTGCGGGTGCTCGCCTGCGAGAAGCGTCCAGACGGACAGGCGTAGCAGGTCAAGTGCGAACGATCTGCACGGCTGCTGACCTCGTCGCTCGAGTGACGTCGCCCCGGGTCCGAGACCCGAAGACGAAGACGGGCTGTGAAAGACGGTGGGGGGTTTCGAAAGCAATCCGGTTTGGGGACCAGGAAAGGGTTGTGAATGGAGAGCGTTTGGGTCGGTTTTTTCCGGTTTTGAACACAGACTCTTAGACATGAGCACTGGACATGAGCACTAAATGTTCAGCAATAGACATGATATGGTTTTACTGTAGGACCATAGGACACAAACCTCTTCCAGATCCCCTCCAAATCGAAGGAACATCGCTTTTGCAATTTATTCGATCTGAAACCACTGCGTAGTAGACAACAGTTCATATGTCCATTCATGTCCCATGTTCCGTGTCCGGCAAACTGTCCATGAGTCCATGCGGTCAGTCCGGAAAGTTCGTGGAAGTTCTTTGCCCTAAGAATCAGTGGACTGGAGGGTCCAATACCCTGCATAGCAGGGGTTTGGATTCCGGAAGTGATATGAAGTGATGTGTTCAGCAACAAAAAACACACCGCTCTCGGATGGAACATCCCTGAACATCAGGACCTTCTGGTCCCGCCCGGACAAGGCGTCGGACCCACCAGACCAACGGTCGGTGGGACGAAACGGTGGTGAAACAGTCTTCCATGCTCATTCACCAGCTGTGCAGTACCAAGGTGCAAAGGACTGCAAATGGTTGTCATACCTGAATGGATAAGGGAAAGGCACAGACTGTGACACACAAGCCAAGCAGACGCACTCACGGCCAAATCCCAAGTGAAGTCATCGTTCTATTCCCACTGAAACATCCAATTGACAAGTGTAAGTGAATCTGTCCTGTTGGATCCCAAGCCGTACACGTCGCAGCCGAAGAAAAAGTCGGTGGCTAAACTGCACCAACCAAACATCAACCTTGTACACCATAGTTCGGATTGGATCCGATTGGCAAGCTCGGACCGGCAGTGGAGTAAGTCCGGGAAAACACCTGCGAGATGGACACTCCACTTCGACGGATTCACATGCCATATGAGAAGAAGTCCTAAAAGGCTACATTGGCCTCAGCCACTAGTAAAGCAAAAACAAGTGCTGTCAAAGTTGAAGTATATTCTTTCCCTGGTCTTCAACTACCAGCCTCATGAATGATTGCTTACAAGCCACCAGAACTGGGTCCCTCTTCTCCCTCCCCTCATCCCCACCAAGTAGTCAGTCCCTTCTGGGGCCGGAAGCCGATGGTCAACTCCAAGGCACATGCCAAAGCCTGAAAAGCATTCCTGAGTTCAACGTCCATTGGCCAGCAAAATACCCAGCCACAGAGAGTGGCACCACCCACCTAGACACAACCACACAGGTTTTGAGGCTTATATTGAATTGAACCAAAATTGTAGTATGAGCAACTGTACTTTCTTGTGTTTGCTGCCTCAAAAGCACCAGCGGCGTGAGGTTGAGTCCATGAAAGGGTCTGAGTCATCATTAGTTGACCTTTGACGTATGAGGTACGGTCAAATTAAATATGTGCGGCTCAGATTTGTGAGTCCCCTATTGTTTTCCAACGTTTCAGAACCGTATTGAAGGGTATCGTTTTTTGTGTCCCCAATCGTTCGCTAGGGTATTTAGTATAGAGCATGCCCGGATATGAATGCAACGTTCCTATACAATCGTAATCATCATAAATGTTGAAGGCACTTCATATAACCATATTATATAACGATATAACTATAGTATTGCTGAGGCTACTATTAGGTTGGAGGTCATTGCTATTTTTTAAAGCCCAGTGTCTCCACATGCAGAAGGCATGCAGAGACAAGAATATTCCAATCTCTCCTTTGGATGCATCGTCAGCTTCCGGGGGGGCAAGAGGTGCATTCAGTATATTCTAAACAACAAAACAACAATAACTTTCCAAACAGTGTTCATGTCATGAGACCTCATAAACTTCCACATATCATCACAAAAACATCACAAACTAGTCTGAGAGTCGCGGCAGCAGAAATCAAAATTATAGAAATCCGTTCGACTTTCGCAACACATCCTACACGTAGAACTATGTAAGAATCCATCCGGTTTTGATCGACATTCATCTCGTTACCTCCACATGTCGTCACAGCGTCACCATTGGACGACAGGTCCGTGGAGTCCGTGGTCAGTAAAAACGATATGGGCATTTTTTTCAGCAGTAGAAACGTCCCAACATATCAAAACCATTTTCCCATCTGGTGCCATGGATGAAACAGCCACCGGGTGTGTTTCCGCAGGATCTGGTGTCGTGAACGAACATGTTCGTAGTCAAAACGACCGGCGCGCCACACATGGGAACTAAAAAAAACTCTGGGCTATTTTTTGCAGATGGATTGATTACTCTGCTTCTGTACGTGGGCGTTTTACCATGTTTGTGTTTATTTTAAATCAGCTTGCTGTCAATCCAAGAATTTGGGGTTTCATTGAGTCATTTGGATCTCTGTTTTCAGTGCTAGGACAACCAGTCCGACTCCGACCAAGCTGGAACCCTGGAATCTGACCGCATCCGAATTCCAAATGCCGGGTCAGACTGCTTGCTTCAGGGCGTCCGAAGTATCTGGCAACCATCTTTTCCAGATCTCTTCATTCTCCTCAGTCATCTGAAATCCACTTAGGACCTGGAGGGGGCCTTAGGGCCTTAGGGTATGCCAGGCCTTTGTCCCAAACAGGATGAACGACATGTGTGCTATTCTGCTCTGTGCCGTGGACTACTTACGCCCAGGCGGGGCGGAGAGAGCACACATACGGCACCAGCGGGCCGTCTAGACTGGGTGGTCGGTGCCAGTCTTCCAATCATTGAATACCCAACAAGAGAATACAAGCACCAGATTGGTTGTGACACGCACCGAACAATCAACTTGCGTTTGTTATTTGTTTGTCCCGTTCTCGATCACTATAAGCACAGGACCCCTTCACTGTGGTTCAAAGACAATCATTATGTTAGTTCAAATGACGTTCAATCCCGAGACAATAAGTGGTCAAGGAACAATATTTCGTGGCTTAGAGTCTGGGGCAACTGACACTTACCCTCCAAAAGAGGGGACACAATCTCTTGGTGGAAGGAGAATCTTCCTTAAACCATGCCATCCTGCAAGAGGAGTTGACCTTGTAATCCGCAAGCCAAACAAAAAAGAAACGACCTGTTCAACACATGTTCGAAGCAATGAATCAGTGGACCCGCCCTCATTTGAGGATGACTAAACTGAGCACAACACATACAAACAATTATACACCCAGCTGGTTGTACCAATAGTTTTGTGGCAGCGCAAGACAGTTGTGAATCATCCTGATGAGCAAGACCAATTCTCCATTATTATTGTTAGTAGTAGTAGTCGTCGTCGTCGTCGCCGTCGTCGTAGTAGTAGTCGTAGTCGTAGTAGAAGTTGTTGTTGTAGTAGTAGTAGTAGTAGTAGTCGTAGTAGTAGTAGTAGTAGTAGTCGTAGTCGTAGTAGAAGTGTTGTTGTAGTAGTAGTAGTAGTAGTAGTAGCAGAAGTAGGTGGTAGTAGTAGTAGTAGTGGTGGTAGTAGTAGTAGTAGTCGTAGTCGTAGTAGAAGTGTTGTAGTAGTAGTAGTAGCAGAAGTAGGTGGTAGTAGTAGTAGTAGTAGTAGTTCGCATTCAAGCCAACCATTTGTCCTCGAGGTCTTTGTTGGCCTGAGAGACGGGTCTCAAACGCCCGGCAGAGCCTGCCCCTTTTCCATCCTTGCGCGGGCGAGACGCCCGCAGCCAGAGGCAAATCAATGTATCCGTCGCCTCGCGTGTGCGGTCGGAGGCTTGATAGGCCAAGGTCAGTTCGACCACGTCCTCGCGCCTCGGCCGCTGCGCAGCATGCGGAGCGGCACAATGATGCTGGGAGCAGATCCGAAAGGCAGGATCTTCGGAGATCCATGTGGAGGACTTGCCCTTCGATGAGATCCAGATCTATTCCACCATACATCGATCATCATAGATCCAGATCTATTCCACCCAGGTCTGAATGCCGCTGGTGTTGCAACAGACGTTTGGTAACGATGTTTGGCGCCCAGATGGGGCGAACATCGCTATCAGAAGCACATGTATCAAAATCATAGACCATGGCTATCAGTTGGTATTGTATGGAATATTCAAATCGTATTCCTCCGATCCGGACATGTCGCCCACGCACGCGTGCCATCGCACACAGGCCGGCGCGCCTCATGTCCAGCTTTTTGATCAATGCCTGGAGCGGAGCATGGAACAGGTTGCATGGAACAAGTACCAAATGGAACAAATGACTGGAGTTCTTGGGGGTATGGTTCTGTGAAATTCTATGCCAGATTCCTGTTCTTAGATGTTCTTGGATATTGTTGCTGTGATTTCTTTGCTCCAAATAATACGTTCGCCTCAGCTCCGGCCAACCGATCGGTCGGTTCCCACATGGAAGCACTTGCCAGCTGGACCGACCTAGTGCGTGCCCTAGTGACCTCATCAACCAGGACATTGCTTTCGACCTCTTGAAGACCAAGAACCTGGGTCATCCTGTCTGGGTGTCCAGTAGACTGGACCTCCAGCCACGAGTAACCCAGCCCAGGATGATCCACCCAGAGACTCCACAGGGAGACCTCCAACCCCCAACGACCCCCCGAAAGAAGATCCTGGAAGAAGGAAAACAGACCACAACGTGCCACAACCCCCAACTACTCGGGGTGTTTGTTCCTTGTTATTTCCACCACCCTATTAAAAGTATACGTCGCCCACGTGACGTGTCATGTGCATCTCTCTTTGTACCGTCTCCTGCGACAGTGACAGACACCGCAACCCATTGGCTTCTCCACGCCTCCACGTCGGGCGCCTTGAAAGAGAAGAATGAACACAACTTCCCCCGCAGCTGCTGGGAGCTGCTGGTAGCTAGGTGCCCTCCCAAATACGCAAGGGTCAGGTATATGCATAAAGAAGAAAAGACTACAAGGGTCTCCCTGCTCGAATCGAGGGAACTTTGTTCAAACCATGAGAATTACAGCAAACATTCCAAACATGTGGAGAAGAGGGGATGACGGGCATCACTGCATCACGAGTAGTAGCAAGGACGCTACTGGTAGCTCCTGGCCTTAACAAGAAGCTGGTAACTAAGGGCATTGCTAGTAGTAGCTTCTTGTAATGCCCTAGCTACGGCGGTCTCCCTTCGCTGAAGGTAGGACTCTGTAGGACCCTGTAGGAGTTCAGAAGAACCTCCGACCGTAGGACCACCCCTTCAAAACCTCAAGGGGTCGACTGGCCCCATCTGGGGACTGAGCTTTTTGCAGCCAAACACCCTGCACCCGACCCCGGACTGGAGGGTTCTGAAATAACTCACGAAATGCATACGAAAAGCATCTAAAAGCCACTCGCTAGAGATGGTTAGAGGGTCTCCCTATTGTGTTGAACAGAGATGCTTGGCGAGAGTCAAACGTTCCGTATAGGTGTCACATGGTTTTAAGCTGTTCAATACCAATAATGATAATAATGATGGATTTCTTCAACATACACGCTCATCTTTCTCAACCTTAGTCATACCCTGAGTCATTGCACACCCTGAGTCCACAAAAATTGATAAAAGTGGTGCAATTCACAGCACCAATTCTTCGGTCGGTCGAGTCAGCCCGTGAACCTGGAGAGAAGACCCTCTCAGTCGAGTCACCAGTTGGTGCAAGTCGAAGCTCACTAACCTGGAAAATCCGGTGGGTCAGGACCACCACATGTGAGGGGACATCAATGACGAGTAATAAGAGGCGAGCGACGAGATCTCTATTTTAAACCTACTACAGGGTGGATGTGGATGATGTGGGCATTGTGGGTGGAGGACCATGGGAGGTTTTTCTCTGCTTTGATCACAGCAAACCACTTTCTTCGACGGCCATGGAACTGGCAAACTCACTCCAGTTCGCAGATCCAAGGAGCGGTAAAAAAGGTTTAGTAAATGGAGAAACCATCATGCTCGATGATTCTCAATGCTTCTCAATGCTTCGATGAACCTGCTCCCCCAAACACATGTAATTTAAAGTGCTTTGTAGCCAGAACAGGTGTCTGTTGCTCAAGTTTGTCCAGGGCCAAAAAACTCAAGAAAAAACTCCTTCAGCTAGGGAAATTGCGTCTGTTCGTTTGGGACGCAACCAAAGGCTAGTCATTCGGGGATTCGGGATTAATTTTTAACCAAATTACGGTGGTGTGACTGGTGGTGTGTTGTTCTCTTGAAACACCTTCCATGCATCATGTGTCGCAGAAAGAGGCCAAGCACATGACCTGCAAACCATCACAAGGTCCAGTTCATGATTCATCCGCGTTTCAATAGCTGGTGCCCCGACAAACACTGCACTATAAATCACCATAATTAGAGTCACCAGCGTCTCAGTCACACTCTGAAGCTTGCTCCAGGCTGGCTCCAATAGCCGCCTCGTGCCTCAAATCCTTCATTCACAGCTTCGGAGGCAGCGTTCTGCACAGCTCCGGAGGAGCGTCACCGGCGTCCGGAGTCGACGGTGATGACGCCTTCAGCGTGATATGACGCTCCTCCGTCGGCCGACCAGCGGAGCACCACGCGTTCGGCTGACGAGCCTGACAAGTGGAGGCCCTGCCTGTAGCCGTAGGAGTTCCATGTGCGCGCCAAACTCACAATTCTGCTCGTCAGAATTGGCCATGGCAATGTAGACTCATCCAAACACACTGGAAGGGAAGAGAAGACGCATGTGGATCGGCAAAGCATCCTGGGCTCCACCCAGAACTCAAATGAGACACGGTTAGAGCCATGGAGCTCGGCTCTCCATGGGCTGCTTCAACCGACCCCTGCGATCCTACTCACCGCGATTGAAGGGCATCATGTGATTGGTCTAAGGATTGAGTGGTGAACATCTTGGGTGAAATGAATGGATTCCCTCTCCACGTCCACCTGGTGGGCACGGCTTGCGCTGTGCTCTCTTGGTGGAAATGAATGGGTTCGGTAGGGAAGCCCCAAAAGTGAGCTATACAGATCCTGCATATACAAGTTGGAGGGGACATGACGGGGGTCACTCGCCGATCGATTCGACTTCTTGAGGGCCAAAGGAACTTTCCCACTTCGCCACTGTTCATTTCCATCCTGAGGTCACCTCGATCCTCAGTGAACGAAACTGCGCCAGCGAAACCAACTGGCGGCCCAGTGGGCCAGTGGATCTTCGAATCCCTCCAGTCCGTTCAAAGCCCGAGAAGTGTCCAACCAAGTTTGTTTTGGTTCTGAAGAATTGATGAATTTCTGAGATCCACTGGGACAGTGAAGCAAATGTCAAATACTTCCCTATAGTTTCGAAGGGTCGTGGCCAGCAATCAAAGTTGTTCCTCTTCCAGGTTCTACAAAGGGGCATGAGAGGTCTCGGGCGGCCAAAAACTGAAGGCTTAACCCGCTCCATCAATGCATTTGGGACCCTACTCGATGGCTGTGGTGGAACAGAATGGGGTTTGGGTGAGTGTCGACTGCTGCCACACTATATGTTTCACATTACAAACAAGGAGACCCATTTTGGAACGTCTTTTGGAAAAAGATTGCAGATCATACCTTTCTCACCCATGGAATGCGTACCTTCCCTAGCGCTCCCACTACCTGCTGAAAAGATGGTCGGGGTGGGTGCCAGGGGGGTCTAACCGCCTTCTGAGGGTATGGTTGGAGCCCAAGGGCTTATAGGATTTGAATGGATTTTAAGTTGTGTAACAACCAGTTGGTGAACTCACAGGGCGGCAAAGCTGTACTATCTCCGGCCCCCACTTCTCGCGCACGGCGGTCTCCTCCCGCGCACGGCCGGCGCGTCAAAAGCGAACTGCAGTGTGCTCATTGGGGCGGACTGACCAACGATCAGCACCATTCCAGCGGATTAACAGGATTCCACGGGACTATGTATATATACCAAACCCAAACACTCCATGTATATGCCATAATATGCCTACATTGGGGTGGTGCAAGGGGGGTCAACATACGCATATATGGCAGTCCCATGGGTCGTGTCTGGGAAACCCAAAAAAGATGTGACCACGACCGTCATGATCGGACGATCCGATCGCAAGTGGCCAAGGTTCCCAAGCAGACTTGTCGAAGGTGGGAAACTGGATCAAAACCTCGGTCGACCGGACTGACTTCACAGACCGGACCGAACGGTCGAGACTTCAGCGCTTCGGTCGATCTTCCCGTTTTTTTCGAAATTCCGCTGCATGTCATTGTGTTGACAAAAGGCCCAGGTTTTTGCTTCTCCCCTGAACACTGGAAGCGTCTGTCGCGCAGGTTTGGACCCGAGTTCTTGGCCCGGAGGGGTTCTTGGGGTCTCAAATCCCTACCAAGGGCCGTCTGGAGCATCTCGGATAGGAAAAAAAGTATGTTTTACGCAAACCAGTTTACCAAAGAACTTGTTGAGTTGATTTTTAAGCTCAGCAGCAACACTCCTGCCCAATGCCTTGGCGATCGTACCAGGATTCCAAGGGCAGATGCATGCAAGGCATGTCATGAGAACACCATAGGCTTCGCGATCATCAACCCCATTTAAAACAGTCCTAGTGTTTAGATGTTCCAAATCCATCGATAGCCACGTAGTCCGACTGCATCCAATTTCGTAGCAAACGCGAACCCATTTGCCACATCGTACGTTGCAGAAACCCTAAGACGCAAACCAAGGGTTCTACAATATCCAGAACAGGGCCAACCTGTAGACTATAGATTCCAGAACCAGTAGTGACCTGTGTTCCCACCCTTTCTTCCCCCAGTAGTACAGTAGAGATCTTAGAGATTTCACGACCACATCCCAAGTGAAAAATCTGTGACATTCCGTGCTGTCCAAGACACGGGGTCCAAGTCCAAATGAAAACCATCCAATGTGAGGGCCTGCCAAATCACCTGAAACCGTTCAAACCGCCCATGTTTTGTTTGAGGAAAGAACCGAAGGGTCAACCGGGAAAGCACCACCCGGTTCGCTTGTCACGGGCCTTCACGGCCTTCACTATATGTTGTATCCCAATTGTGGCATGAATCAGTGGACGACTGCGGCTGGTGTCAAGGAATGTCAAGGAGTCAGAATTCAGTGCAATGATCGGGGAAGCTGGCGGAGAACAGCACATTCATCAGTTCAACTGCACCAGCTCACCAAAATTCCATGTATACGTACTCGCACCCTCCAGACCCACAATGGGACCCTGACCCTCTTGAAAAACAGGACCGGTATACCATGGTACCTCTTTTCCAACGCTCCGAAACGAAGCCGACGCCTCCGGCGAGCCGGAGAGAGGCTCTCGCCGCACCCAGCACCCGGAAACAAACAACGCCGTGGTGGTGGGTGAAAAAGAGTGGAAGGAAGAGTGAGGATCTGGCATGGATCTGATGAAATCATGGTGGAAAAAAAAGCTACACCCACCCCAGTTGTTCTGTGACAAAATGCTGAAAATCCCTATCGTGAGCATTGCAAGCCCGTTCTTACCCACTGCCGTGGTTGAGGTTGAGGTGTATGGATCGGCTTCCGACTCCGTTCCTAGTGTCCTATAGTCCTGTTGTCATGTTCTCGCGCGTGAATGCAATCCCCATGTTCATTGACGACGAGGGAATGCAGCAGTAGATACAGTACTATAGTGAATGTGCCCATTGAGGGCCTGTAAATCTGTAGCTGGACTGTTGCTTGGTGGGGGGATCTGCAAGGTCTACTGTCATCTTGTCGTGTTCCAGTCCTCGCATGTCAGTGGAAGAAAAAGCCCAAGACACCGAATGTTCGTGGATCAGTGAAATCCACTCACCTGAGCATCCACGTGTTGAATTCCGCTGGAAACCGCTGTTGCCGCGCCGCGCTGGAAACCCGCTGAACGCCACGCCGCGCTTTCATCCGCCAGCTTTGGGGCACCGATTCTCGATGGATTTCGGGTTGGAGCTCCCCGGAGCGCCGTGGGTTCCGAAAATAAAAACCGGGCGAGAGCCAGATGGACGATACGTGGTGAACCAACGATCCACACGGTTTTTCGGGTTCCGTACCAGGTATTTTTTTGCAGTATCCCTGCGGTCATCTGCAGCATCGGATCCACAGTGACTCCATTTTGGACAAGGACCGGTAATTCGGAGATGCTTTATGAGTTGTCGGAAGAACACGAACTCACTCTCACCTCCTGGAACGTCCCTGCGGTCAATTCCTGGGCATCGAAAGTGTTTCTTTGGTTCCGAAGCTGACCCAGCTCAGCTCGTGCGGATCGGCGGACCGGAGTGCGCAGTGAACCAGGTTATGGCCAGGTTGCGGGTGTGCACCAGAGCAATTGCCAAAGGCATATTGGAGGAGGTGCCTCAAGTCTCTCGTTTGGAATTCTGTGTGGCGTCACCTGCGATGTTCGCAAGAAGAGGACATGCTGCCATGCAATGTTGGTATCTCATGTGGTGATACATGAATCTACAGGACCCTGCATGATTTAACAATGTTTTCTTAACCGGCTCGTCAACGTAAATGAACATGTTTTTGCAGTTTTAACCATTTGTCGACTGTATATAGGTTGTTTCTGTGACACCAAGACTAGCAGGGCCCAAACTGTGTTCAGGTTTTTGTTGAAACAATCCGTGGTTTCCTTCACTTGGCTTTGTTGGAAGATTGGGCTGAAACGCTAGAAACAATGGTGTTGTTTCAATTGTCAAATCCCCTGCAAAGCAGTCACTGTGAACCTGAACCTGGTGAAACCAAGAACCAGTCAGCAACAACAAGGAATTAACACTCACATCCACAATCATGCGCCATTTGTTGGGCCACCCTGTTCTTGGTGCCTGAAACGACTCAATCTGCACCCGACACCGTCAGCACAACGGGATCCAAGGGGCCCAATTGCATCATCTGGAGCAGGGTGTTCTCGGCCACTGATGTCTGGGTGGAGATCTAAGCCAAGGCGACTGCGGAGAGCGATTGTGGTCTGAGTCTTGCGGAGCGATTGTAAGTCATTGTGGGTTTTCTTTTTCTTCTGTTACCTTTCTTCAGTTGGCAGCAAAAATGTCACAATTTCTATGATCACATAGAATTATCATATATATTATGGAGGATAGGGTTTGAGACTGCAGTGCTGCAGACTAGAACAACTCGTGTGCCCCAGTGGCCTGCATGCTGGTTCTGAATTTCAAGTCTTGATTGACTGGAATGAAGCGCTGGCATTTCCACGGCGCACTCATTTTGCACTGGCTCCAGTCTTCCTCAACGTTCTTGACAACAAAATTTGGAGATAGAAACAAAAACACGCGCAGGGCCATGAGAGGTGAGGATAGGAGAACAAGCAGTGAAGCCACCTTGAATGGTGGCTTTCAACTGACCCTATAAAGCTTCGGACACTACCTGAAGTACATGCAAGGCAAAGAGACAAGCAGTTGCAGTGAAAGTACATTGAATGGTGGCTTTCGAATGACCCTACAAAGCTTCGGAGACTACTCGAAGTACATCTAGGGCAAAGAGGCAAGCGGTTGCAGTGAAAGTACCTTGAATGGTAGCTTTCGAGTGACCTTACAAGGACTACTCGAAGTACATGCAGGGCAAAGAGGCAAGTGGTTGCAGTGAAAGTACCTGACCTTTAATGGTAGCTTTTGAATGACTCTACAAAGCTTCGGAGACTACTCGAAGTACATGCAGGGCAAAGAGGCAAGCAGTTGCTGTGAAAGTACCTTGAATGGTAGCTTTCGAATTACCTTATGCAAAGCTTCGAAAACTACCTGAAGTACATGCGAGGAGAGCTGCGCAAGCGCGCAGGGCGTAGGAGGCGCCATTGTGATGGCCTGCGCGCACGCCCGCAGGAATACCGTGGCACGTTTGTGACTTGAAATTCCGTATAATTCCGTGCTTGTTATATCCAAACCTGACCGCGTCGGGTCAGCTGACGCAGCTTCCCGATTTTCTTGGTGAGCGCTTGGCAAGTGGGCCGTATTCAGCTCGCAGGTGCACAAGCCCACCTTTTGTTTGCTGTTGGCCTTTTGCGTCATTTCTTCTAGGATGTAGGCCAACACTGCCTGACGTCCATCTACCATGTCCAAAAACCATCTTACAAAAATGCCAATCATTGACCCACATTGACCCTGTTTCGACCATAGGCTACATTGTATACATTAATATAAGATTCTATAAGGTAAGTTCGATGTACATCGACCAGTCCCATGGATTGACATCCTCTCCACGTCTTCACCTCCGACGTGACGCCCTGTGGGGACGACGTGATCCTGTCGAGTGCGTCGCACTCGACACACGTCCCGAAACTCGGCCCTGAAGAAACTCAGGGGAGTCTATAAACTACCCTTTGGGTGCTGGCACAGTATATGAATTTCTTCTGGTTTTCTCATGGATCTGCTTGGTGGATACTCACTTTGGAAGACAATTCCCTCTGTTGTGTTTCTCTCAGGACCTTTCAGGAAAAAAGAGTTTCAAACCTTCGTTCACCGGACACGGTCCGGACTATGCCGAGGCACGCAGGGAATGCAGGTCGACGGATCCACGCGACAGGCGGGGGTCAGGAACCAGGTCCCCTCCTGAGACACGCACCGATCGCACCGATCGCGGGTCGTCCGAAACCGGAGCGGACGGGAGTGAGGAGAAAGAAAACAGCCAACTAGTGGCTCAAAACACTTGGGCGAACCAGTGGCATTTGGGGTGGTCAATTTGCAGCCTGAAGTTGCACGTTCTGCAACGTGATTTGAGTCGTTTTCTGAATGGTGTGTGGAGTTTGTTGCCCTCAAGGTTGCTCATCCCACCCTCCTTCCGCTTCCTCCCTCCCAACCCGTTTTGGTCATCCAGGACTCGTGGCAAAGAGCAGTGCCCTCTGCGGTGAGTCCAGCGGTGTCTCCAGTGACTGCCACATATGTTGCCATCATCTCCAAGTTCCTCCCAGCTCCGACGAGGAACTTCACCGGTCACCCGCGCGCGCGCGGCTGTCGAGTCTGCACCCACGAGCTCATCCGATGGGCAAACCCCACACCCCTTCGGGTCGACGTTTCGGGTCAGTGGGACTGAGGTGGGTGGGAGGGTCCAAGTCATACCCTCTGAGGGGATGGGAGCCATTCGTCGACATAGCTGCTGAATGAAACTCTCCTACGCCAAGCCCTGGTGCCTGGAGCGCCCCCTCCATGGTCGTCGTTTGAGATGGCGCTGTTGGGATCCACCATCAACCAAACATCGAAACAAACATGGGTTGGTGTCACAAAGAGCACTCCAAAACGTGTATCGAACTGGGACACCAAGTCGCGGCACCAACCATTTTAGCGTGTGCGTCATTTGATCCTTTGCGGTGAGTGTTTTGCTTGTCGTTTCACGGGGCTCACAGAATGGCGCTGTGTTTCAGGTATAGTTTGCGTCGTGCTTGGAAAATTGTTGCATTGTTATGCATTGTTAAGATCTTTCCACAATCTTTTCTCAACGTGCCAGCAAAACACCAACAAAAAACACCAACGGCCATGGCCAGCGTCGAAAACCCAACCAGACCGCCGAACGACGTGCTGCGACGTGCTGCGATCAGAGGCTATGGACCCTCCGATCAAAAAAGAGGCAGGGGTCCGAACATGGAGGGGGTCCAATAACCCTCACATCCGGGACCAAGGGCCGTTTGGAGTGTCTGGGAAATGATGATAAAGGCAAATGTAATATATATATATATTATATAATATATCAAATATATAAAATATATTCTATAATTCAAACACCAGCAACTTGTGGTCCAGAGGGGGGTGGCGAAAGCTGAGCAAAGAAACAACGCTGGGGCTCTTTAGGCAGCAAACGCCTGGCCGGGAATCGCAACATGCCATGGCCAAGGGAAAAGGAGAGTGCCAACAGCGCCCCCCCCAATACGACCCCAACACAGCCAACACATGGCAACACACAACCACCCCAGCAACCGCAGCAGCCACAACAACAATAACTGGAACCAGCAGCGGCAGCGGCAGCAAGCAGAGCAGAAGCAGCAGCAGGAGTAGCTAGCAAGCAGCAGCACCAGCTACCAAGCAGCAGCAGCAGCAGCAGCAGGAGCAGCTACCAAGCAGCAACAGCAGCAGCACTTTCGTGCCCCAACATTTGGTCTCGAACAATAGCACATATAGGTGCTGCCTGAGTAATTGTAGAAGGGCGACGTGGAAAGATCCACGAATAAATGCTGACGATGCAGCCAGCAGCGGTGTGCATGATTGACATCTAGGGGTTGCATGCAAACATGTGTCAGCGACCGAAGACTCCGTCGCAACGCTTGTGCATGCTCCCTGTCGCTCGAACATGGAACGCGGACTACCATGAGTGAAGCAAACAGCCCGTTCAAACATCTTACTGGGTTCTGTCATTCATGTGTGTAGTAAGTATCATCTTTTGATCTGCATGCATAGCGGATAGTGCATTCTGATTTGTACTCTTGGGGGTTGTGGGGTGGGTACATGCCTGTACAAGCTTCTTAAGGATATAATGAAATTAGCATCGTTTCACGACTCAGAGGGAATGCAACTACTCTCGATTCTAACGAATAGGCTTTCCTCAGCACCAACAGCAGCCAACAACCCCAAACAACAACAGCAGCAAAACGGAGCAGACAACAAGCAGCAGGCAGCCAGCATCCAGCAGCAGCAAGCCTGCAAGCAGCAAGCAGCAGCAACCAGCAAGCAGCCAAGAGCCAGGCGCAGATGAGATGCCAGCAGCAGCAGCAGCGACCAAGCAGCAGCAGCAGCAGGTAGCGAGGAGGAGAAGGGTGGAGTTGAACCTCGCGGGGGGGGCAACAGCACTCAGGTCCTGGGCTAAAGCAAGACAGACTCCAGCTAGCTACAGCTAGCTTTCGTGACATGGCAACACACAACCACCCCAGCAACAGCAGCAGCAGCAACAGCCACAACAACAATAACTGTAACCAGCAGCGGCAGCGGCAGCAAGCAGAAGCAGCAGCAGTAGCTAGCAAGCAGCAGCACCAGCTACCAAGCAGCAGCAGGAGCAGCTACCAAGCAGCAGCAGCAACAGCTACCAAGCAACAGCAGCAGCAGCTACCAAGCAGCAGCAGCAGCACCACCAGCAGCAGCAGCTACCAAGCAACAGCAGCATCAGCTACCAAGCAGCAGCAGCAGCAGCAGCTACCAAGCAGCAGCAGCAGCACCACCAGCAGCAGCAGCTACCAAGCAACAGCAGCATCAGCTACCAAGCAGCAGCAGCAGCTACCAAGCAGCAGCAGCATCAGCAGCAGCTACCAAGCAGCAGCAGCAGCAGCAGGGAAAGATTGAGCTTTCCTTAGAGTCTTTCGTGCCCCAACATTTGGTCTCGAACAATAGCACATATAGGTGCTGCCTGAGTAATTGTAGAAGGGCGACGTGGAAAGACAGATATATCTGATATATTTGTTTTTCCACGAATAAATGCTGACGATGCAGCCAGCAGCGGTGTGCATGATTGACATCTAGGGGTTGCATGCAAACATGTGTCAGCGACCGAAGACTCCGTCGCAACGCTTGTGCATGCTCCCTGTCGCTCGAACATGGAACGCGGACTACCATGAGTGAAGCAAACAGCCCGTTCAAACATCTTACTGGGTTCTGTCATTCATGTGTGTAGTAAGTATCATCTTTTGATCTGCATGGGTAGCGGATTGTGCGTTCTGATTTGTACTCTTGGGGGTTGTGGGGTGGGTACATGCTTGTACAAGCTTCTTAAGGATATAATGAAATTAGCATCGTTTCACGACTCAGAGGGAATGCAACTACTCTCGATTCTAACGAATAGGCTTTCCTCAGCACCAACAGCAGCCAACAACCCCAAACAGCAACAGCAGCAAAACGGAGCAGACAACAAGCAGCAGGCAGCCAGCATCCAGCAGCAGCAAGCATGCAAGCAGCAAGCAGCAGCAACCAGCAAGCAGCCAAGAGCATCCAGCAGCAGCAAGCATGCAAGCAGCAAGCAGCAGCAACCAGCAAGCAGCCAAGAGCCAGGCGCAGATGAGATGCCAGCAGCAGCAGCAGCGACCAAGCAGCAGCAGCAGGTACCGAGGAGGAGAAGGGTGGAGTTGAACCCCGCCGCAAGGGGGGGGGGAGGGTATAGTCCTGATATATCAGATAACAGCACTCAGGTCCTGGGCTCCCACCCTCCTTGCTAAAGCAAGACAGACTCCAGCGAGCTATAGCTAGCTTTCGTGAATACCACTATATGGCTGTACCCAACGGCAGCGTGTAGCCACTAAGAAGTCAGTTGGTGTATACAGGCTATTGGCCCGAAGCAATTGGTGCGTCTGGAGTGTGAGAGAATCATCAGGACCGAACAAACACTTCCACGAGGCATCCTCGTGTCGTTGAAATGGTTCCCGAAACAGGCCGAGGTGCACGAAGCGGTGATCTGAATAGTTGCAGGGAAAGAGCCGCGAGGCGTTGATGTCTGAGATGCGGTCGAAGTAATTCCACGGAGAAAACCAGGAGCCTCGGGTGTGTTCATCGGGCGGTCTGGCGGCGTCTCCACGCGATGACGGTGTCGGACATTCGAGGTCGCCACTCTGTCAGGAGTATCCCTTAGGGCTCCAACATGCTCCAACCATACCTGGACCATCCTGTCGGGGTGCCCTGTCTGGAAGCCCATAGGTTGTGGACCCCCGAAAACCCACCCCAGTCCCATCGGTTCCCGAGTGCCCGATAGATGGGCGGCCGAACGGAGCGGGGCCAAGGACTTGGACGAGAAAAGGAAGGATCGGCAAGCACTTGGCCTACATCGGCTCAAACATCAAATATATGCAAATACGGCCTAAGAGATCCTACGACTAACCTATATCTCAATAGGTTTGATGGACCTGAGCTTCAACCTGTGGGGCCCAGCTCAAATGGGTCGAATGTATACGAGTCCACGAGGACGTAACGAACGTTGTCTTACTGTTATCATATTTGATCTCGAGATGAATGAGGATAGCACAGGCGGCGTGATGAACATTGCAACAGCCAGGAACGCGAGTGATGAAACAGACACGCTCCAAGTTCTTTAAACCTGCCCTTAAAGCCTTATAAAGCCTTGAAAAGAACAGAGATCTCAAGAAAATAATAGGGCCCAATCCTTCTGGGCCTTGTGGGTCCTGGGTGCGCCGAGACCTGCCGAGACCGTGCGGTTCCAGACACGATTGTAGCCGCGGAAGGAGTCCAGGGCCAAGCCTGGCGTGTTCCGCCGCGGTGGGGACTCGCTTGAGAAAAAACAGGATCGTGACTGTCGTGACGAAGCCATGAATCTAAAGGAGTCCAAAACAATGTCCAAAATGGTCATTAGTAAATTTAAGAAAACCACTTATGTCTCTGATGGTTTTTCCATTTCAAAATAAAGCCCAAAAAACGAAAAAAAAAAACAACTACTACAAAGCAAAAGCAAAAAAAGTGAATCCAAAAAGCAAAAAATGGTAAATTAAAAAGCAAAAAACAAAAATCACAGCGAAACAAAAAAGCGAACAAAAAGCAATGAAAAAGCAAAAAGTGAAAACAAACAAATGCGAAAAAAATGCGAACAACAAAAAAAAGGAGCGAAAAAAATCGAAAAACAATGTGGGCAAGCAAAAAAGAGCAAAGAAAGCACAAAAAAAACAAGCAAACAAAAAAAGCAAAAAAAGTGAATAAAAAGCGGAAAATTGCTTTCGCTTTTTGGATTTGCTTTTTTTTGCATTTGCTTTTGCTTTTTGTTCTTTGGATTTGCTGATTTTCGCTTTTGCTTGTTCATTTGCTTTTTTTTGCTTTTTGGATTTGCTTTTGTTTGCTTTTGCTTGTTTAATTGTTTTTTTTGCTTTTTGGATTTGCTTTTGCTTTTTGTAGTTGCTTTTGTTTGCTTTGTTTTTGCATTTTTGCTATTTTCAAGATTCACAGAGTTAGCCTGGGTCCGGCGATGTTAATAACAAAGTTCTGGACTCCTTTGGATTCATAATGTATGAGTAGATATAATATGCCATTTTTCAAAAAAATAGGTCAAGGCCGAAACATAGATAGAATATGGATCTGACCCCAAACACATAGATAGAATATTTAATAACACAGGAAAACAATTGAATAAAGCAAGAAACGGGAACAAACATACAATAGAGATGCAGCTAGTGCCATGCAAAAGCAGGAAACTGACGCCACCAAAAACAATTGACCTGATAACTCTCTCTGAGAGAGAGAGAGAGAAACAAAAAACATGAAAAGAAAGAAGATAAGGAAGAGAAAGACCAGAAGACGAGTAGGAAAAGGGTAAGGATGGAAAGAGGAAAAGGAACAGGAAGAGGAAGAAAAGGAATTGGAGATGGAAAAGGGATAAGAAACAGGAAAAGGTAGATGGAAAAGAACATGGAAGAAGGGAAAAGAGGACACCAATTATAGATATATATAAATTGACAAGATCCTGGAGTAGATATATGTGGGCCCAATATTCTATCTATGGGTCGATCTTTCATTTTTAGTCTTCGTGTCCAAAACCCCCAGCTTTTTCAAAAAAGAATTAACCCCTTTCAATTCCGGATTCTATCTACTCCAGGATGATTATACATTTATAGTGATTTTAATGTCAGAACAAAGTATACAGTAATTATTATGCAAATGTCCAAAGGAACCCCAAAGAAGGGTCACTGAGTCACTGAGTAGGCTCGTTATCATTGCCAATCGAAAGCCGAGTGTATTCAAACAACCCAGCAACAAAAATACTGTAGGGCAGCCTAACCAGTACGCAAAAATCAACCTTTCAAATCTACTCAAGTTTCATTGACTTGAATCCAGTGACGTGGAGCCAAGGCCAGCGTTTCCTGCACTGACGGAGGTTCGCAAAAAAAAGGGGTGACTGATGGGGAGAAATGCTGTCGTGTCAAGACTCCTGCTCTGGCCAGGTCGGCAAGGAGGAGTCTCAATCAACATACCTCTGATCCCTCCAAGAGGTCCAGCTCAAGGCCAAAGTCATCCGTCTTAGTATGTCTCTATCATGTCAGGGGCCCTACGAAGTGGCAAGCTGGTACCTAACCAAACACTAATAACTGTAATAAACTCAGTCGACCGATGCTCCGCCGTGGCCTGCAGAAGTCAGAGCTTCCTCCTGAACCGAACGCCGCAGGAACCACCCCTGCGCCAAGTCGTAGCCCATCGTCCCCACGTAGCGAGGCAGCCTGTCCACACCACCGACGAGATGCTCAGCGGGTTTTGGGTCCGTGGTGAAAATGCGCGGTCCGGAAGGCATCTTTGAGAATCTCTGTCCGGTGGCAGAACTCATGGACTTGCAGGAAGCGTGAAAAAAAGGTCTAAATGATCTGATCCCCCTGAAGGGGATTTACATGGATTTACCCACCAGCAAAAAAAATATATCATATATTATATATATATCATATTATATATATATGGGCAACCAAAAACATTTGATTCGATTCGCAAACTCCAGGACTTCTCCCGGGAACTTGGTGTCTTCGAACTCGCTCCATGTAATACGAGGCGCCGGTGCCATGGACGGATTGGTCGACTGGAAGGTTTCGAACGGCTACTCGTTTGGACGTTGCCGCGGACTTCAGAGACGAAGTCCGTGGACTTCAGAGACGTCATCACAGCCTACAAGCTGTATATACAACGGCAACACCTGGTCGGCGCACTGGTCGCCTGTTACGACTGATCAATCCGTGGGCAACTATATACCCTAGGGATCCACTGCCACCTTCTCAGAAGGTACGACTGGGCCCTCCTGGCGCCTACATAAATAGTCTCCGTCCTCACCGTACCTGAGAAGATCGACTGGATAGGGATACTAGAATATATGTATATATATATATGGCTTTAGGTCATGACAAAGGAACCCCTCAATCCCTCGTAGGTTGGACCTCCCCAGTAGTCTGTTCATGTCAACCGGGCTGTCCTGGTGCCATGACCCACATAACCGCCCGGGCCGCCGAGGTGTGCTTTGAACACCCACTGCAAATGAACCCCTCCCAGACGGAAACTTGAGCAATGCGAACCTGGTTCCATGGGTTTCATCAGTCAATTGCAGTGGCTGCCCCGGGCCACGGGCCCTAATGCCGGTCAATGGAAACATACAAGAAGGAACAAGCACAATCTTATGTTATTTTGAGCGCACAAATCATCATCAGCCTTGAAACGCTCGCGTTCGCCCTTCACTTCGCGTCTCCGACTGAACCGCGCCTGGCTGCCAGGTTCTTCCAAGCGGGCAGGGCCACAGCCCAATCGTGCAAGGAGTCCAGGTACTGATGATGAGACCCCGATCGCGTGTTCATCGCAATGTGGATCCTCCCGGATGGCTCGGTGTGGAGATCTCATTAATGAGAGCTGGGTACCTGGTTGTTGGTATGCTCATCACCTCTTGGATTTGATTCCAGAAAGCTACAAAACATTACAAAAAATCATGGAACATTATGAAACAAAAGAAATTAGAGAACATTAGGAAACATTGGAAGTATTTATTCCACATTCGACGTGGGGAACCCCAAAATGGAAGGAAGAACGGTCGAAATCGCCTCAATGTTTTGGGGAGCGCTATAGCAATGGCTGTATCTTGGAGTCACTGTCATTCACTCTTGGATCTGAAGCAGAAATAGGGCTCTACTACTGAATGAAGCTCAGTGATTTCCTCAAGCTCGAGTGTTTTCTACTCCATTCATGGCCCAGTCAGGTGTGATCAAAGACACTTTTCTATCTTTGTTCTAGAGGAAAGTTTGGAAAATGTTGCATATCTGATCATGTATGGCTGGGAACATTTGGAAGTCTTGATGTTGTAAGCCTTCCTCGAAAAAGGCTGATGTACCTGGTTCTGTTGCAGCCCTACAAGACTACTATACAATTTCAGCTAATTAACAGATCGTTTAGTAGTTTGCCCTGTGGATCCGACTACCCTCTGAGAAAGTCGGGAAAGCAGTTTTTGAGCATGGAGTAGATATATATATATATATATACCTGCAGCTGCATATTTTGCTATGGCAACATAGTTGCAAAATCAACTACAACGTCAGTTACAAGTTACAACAGAGTGTTTCCCCAACATAGTGTCAACATCAACTACAGCGTCAGTTGCAACATAGCTTGCAACCAGTTCTTCCTGGCTTGATCTAATGTACATCATTATAGAATTCTCATCCATTTAATTATCACTCGAAAAGTCCAGTTTCATACACTTTGTCAGTGTCACTTCGAGATGAATGAACTCTCCGAATGGGACATCATAGAATCGGATGGGGTGGCGCTACGCAGTGCGCTGCACGTACAGCTTCTTCACCGACACAAATCACCTGAGCGAAGACAACCTCAAAGCACAAACCACCCGTGCTCTTACTGGTCCGACGCGGCCAGTAGAAGTTTGGATCCCTTCCAAAACAAATCCTTTTGTTGTGTGAAAAGAGGAGCCACAGAGCCCAGCCACAGAGTTGACAGAGTTCAGGGGCGCGGCCAAGAGGAGGACAAGAGGAGGACAAGGCCCAGCCACAGAGCCCAGCCACAGAGTTCAGGGGCGCGGCCAGTGAGTGTGGCCAGCTCTTTTCTTTCAAAGATAGAACCCCAACAGTAAACTGTTTGGGGAAAAAACGACATGAAAAAGAAAGCACATTAGAGAACAAGATGGTCCCCTGAGTCCCCTGTCTCTCTTCTCTTCTGTTTTTGTTGAGGTGATCGGTCACATGCCCCCCCAGGTCGCTCCTGGTGCTGTCGCTGAGGCAATCGGTCCAACCACAGCCAGCCAGAGCTCCCGTCGCGAATTCCGGGTTGAACAAACAGCCTTCAGTGGTACACCAGACCTGCGGTCAGCAACCGGTCGGTCGAATCCGACCGGTTCCGGTGGTGTTTTTCGTGAGGTTCGTGTTCGGAGCGAGGGAGAGTGAGCCCACGTTCGCTTCATCGTGCTTTCGGCGGCCAAAGAAACACATCAAAGCAGGAAGGGAAACTGGGTGCTATGCGATGAGCGAAGGATGGACATGAACATATGGTATGAAGTGCACTTTGTTGGTTGAGACATGTGGATACCTGGTGCTGAAACTAGTGATCTTTGGAGGGCCTTGCAGGCCCGGCCGGCACCCTGTTTCAGGTCGCACCGGAGCTGGTCTTGTGTCACTCAGCTTTTCAGAGAAGGTCTTACACAACGGGACGTTGCAGGAAGGAGAGAAGAAACCCCGCGAGCTGTTCACTTCAAAGTGGTATGACGAAAACCCCCTTCGACGTGTTCCGATCGTCGGACTCTCGAGGTGTTCCGGACTCGTCTACGATCACGGATGATCACTGGATCTACCCAGTCCGATCCCGACATGACCAAAAACCACCAAATGTAAGCCAACGTGAGCCAGATTTGCTTAACGTAGATCCTTTGGTAATATATATCCCTAAGGGTCCAGGACCATCGGTTGCTCGGATGTCCATCCAATTCGACCATTCGACCAGGGAGTACGTACTCAGACTCACCTCTGGTCGGCCATCCGAAGTACGGAGGTACCTGGACCCGAACTGGGTATACACACTTATACATAATCAAGCATCGCTACTAGGAGCCAAGGGCATCGCTACGAACGGAGCGTTCGGACGTTCGGGGCTCCTGGCCGTACTACTAGGAACAAGGACGCTACGAACGGAGCTTTTTCGCGGAGTGTATAAGTCTGGTCACCACCTGTTTGGTAAATGTCATGGTCATGCGAGTCTTCGCATGCCATGCACGGCCAGGCCCATGATTTCCAGAGTTCCTCACCCTTGGCACCGACCCTTGGCATCGGAAAACTCAGCCCTTTGCACCCTGATCCCCTGGAAAGTCAGTTTCCCTCGAAAGGCAATGAAAAAAAAACTGTTCCGCTGATGCATCTGAAAACCGAGGTCTCCGGTCTCCTTTTTGGGAAGACCATCCATGGAGGAGGTCAGAGCAGACATAGATCCTACATGGTCCTAAAATCATACATGACCTATCATGAACTTAATCACAGTATATCCACTACGTCGTCAATGTGAACCGAACGGGCCAATGTAAAAGGCCATGCAAGTGACGTCGTTCATTCTTGGAAACGGATTTGCTGGTGCTTTCTTCGCCATCATCGTTCCAAATCCATATAGACCGGACTGAGAGTCACTAACCAAGGCCATTGACTGAATCCTACTACTGGAACTTGCTTTGAACATTTACATCTCCAGATCGTGTGGATATGTCCGGATCATCTCTTTCCTAGGATCATCTCTTTCCCACATTCATGCAGGAATGGCCTCATGCATGTGATAGCCCAAGATCTCCTGGCGAGCTAGCGAGTCGGCGGAGCTATACCTACCTTCCTGACGTCATTGGTGGTTGGTCTAGGCGTATGCACCATCGGCGTCTCTATGGGCTTGGTTGTGTGTGCGCGCGTTTTTCCAAAAAGATAAGCACTACACTCCCTGAAACAATCACGGAAGTGGAAAAAGGCCCCGAGTATCAGATGACCAAATGAAAGGATCACCATGAAAATCTCGAAGACCAAGACAGTTGGTGTTCACTCCACTTCCAATGTTAACTACAGAAACACAACGACTCGAAGAGGACATCCACCACTTCCATGGTCTTCAATTCGTGTTTTTTTGTCGTCCAAGCCAAGGGCACCGCAGTATTGCAACATGTACTATTGCAACGTATGGGAGTCTCGCGTATCGCTCGATGTCTCGCGTCTCGTAAGGAAAGCTGATACAGTCACCGTCACCCACACAATCCACATGAGTTAGGTCCCAATAGGAACGAGGTAACCTCCTTACTTCGGTGTGGCATAAAGGACGTACTCCCTGGTCGAATGGTCGAACAGGCCATGTCATTGGGGGGGCGTAAACTCAGGACATCGCAACGGATGGTCCGAGGGACCCTTAGGTGTCATGCGAAACACCGCACTCAATGAGTGTTCTCGGCGTCGTGACGCGCGGACCGAGAACAGAGTTCACCAAGACGCGCGGAGAACGCGATCGCAACGGGATGAACCGTCTTCTCCACCATGCCGGGCAGACACTGATGAGCAGAGAAACGAGCTTGTTGGTCAACTTGGTGCAAGTACTGGATGGGGGAAAGCGGGTGTGTATGAGCTCGTATTGGAACAATATACTATCACCAATCTACACCATCGAAACATTCCAAGCCGTTGTTGGGAAGTAGCAGCCAAAAAGTAAGTCTTGACCAATATCTGCCTGTCTGCAGTGTTTCAAAGAAAAAAATACTCTACTTCGAGTGATCCCCACCATGGCATTTCAATCATTTGTCTTGATGCCATAGTGAGGAGCATGTTGCCATGGTCGTGAGTATTGTAGTTCTCGATTTTGCTTCTGGGTCCTCCGGTTGTGTGCTGTGGTTGTGTGTTGTGTGTTTGTGCTTGTGTGCTCTGTTGTGGTTGTGGTTGTGTGTGTGGTTGTGTGTTTGTGGTTGTGTGTTTGTGATTGTGTGTTTGTGGTTGTGTGATTGTGGTTGTGTTTGTGGTTGTGTGTTTGTGTATGTGGTTGTGTGTTTGTTGTTGTGTTCGTGGTTGTGTCTGTGGTTGTGTTTGCGGTTGTGTAATTGTGGTTGTGTTTGTAGTTGTGTGTTTGTGGTTGTGTTTGTGGTTGTGTGCTCGTGGTTGTGTGTTCGTGGTTGTGTGTTCGTGGTTGTGTTTGTTGTTATGTTTGTAGTTGTATGTTTGTGGTTGTGTGTTTGTGATTGTGTTTGTAGTTGTGTGTTTGCGGTTGTGTGTTTGTGGTTGTGTTTGTAGTTGTGTGTTTGTGGTTGTGGTTTGTGGCTTGTGGTTGTGTTTGTGGTTGTGTGTTTGTGGTTGTGGTTTGTGGTTGTGTGCTTGTGGTTGTGTTTGTGGTTGTGTGTTTGTGGTGTGCTTGTGGTTGTGTGTTTGTGGTTGTGCATGTGGTTGTGGTTGTGTTTGTTGTTGTGTCTGTGGTTGTGTGTGTTGTGGTTGTGTTTGTGGTTGCGTGTTTGTGGTTGTGTGTTTGTGGTTGTGTGTTTGTGGTTGTGCCTGTGGTTGTGGTTGTGGTTGTGTTTGTTGTCGTGTCTGTGGTTGTGTGTTTGTGGTTTGTGGTCGTGTGTTTGTCGTCGTGTTTGCGGTTGTGTGTTTGTGGTCGTGTTTGTGGTTGTGTGTTTGTGGTTGTGT